TTATCATTGAATTAATGTGAAGGTATAATATAAAGGGACATGTAGACCTCTCATTTACGGGTATTTACTATATTGTCTAAGACGTATTAAAATCTAAGTAAAATGCTATTTGACTTATGCAGTAAATTAAAAATTTTAGGTTTCCTAAAGAACCTAACGCCAGGGAACAATGGATTGACGTGACAGGTAGAGGAAACTGTAGACAAAGACGAGTACTATTTGCTCTAAACATTTTACTGAAAATGATTTTACCATAAAAAAATCAAAATACACTTAGTTTTGAAAAATTCATTCGCAATTAATAGCAAGCGCCAACTGCTTAACAAATACGTTTTATTCCAGGGACAGTGACTATTTGTAATTAACAAAAGTAAAATTGTTTTTTTTTTTTCAATATTTATTTCATGTTTCAGTTTCTCCATTCATTCATCAGATAATTTATCGATAAAGAATATCGATTTTATCAAGAACTAGCGTGTATGAACATTTTTATTCCCTTTTTGCGTGTGTGAGTGTGTATGCCTACGGGTGTTTTGTGCTAGTTTGCGAACGAATATCTGTCCTGAGATTTATGTGTGGGTGTTTTTGTTGTGTGCGAAATACTTGTAATCACAGTATGTGTATGTGTAGAAATTAAAATAGTGGGGATGAAGCGGCGACACTGGTTCTGATACAAAATTAGAGCAAAGGCCTTTCCAACCTTATTTATCTATTCCGTGGTGATACCCACCCGCGCGGACTCGCTAGAGGTCCTACCACTAGTAATTACGCAAATAACAATTTTTTGGATTTGATTTTTATTACACGATATTTTTCCTTCACCGTGGAAATCAATCGTGAACATTTGTTGAGCACGTATTTCATTAGAAAAATTGGTACCCGCCTGAGATTCCAACACCGGTGCATCGCTCAACACGAATGCACCGGACGTCTCTCACCGACGAAATCGAAGACTTCTGGTTTGATTTGATTTGATGTACATGGTGCTGGTTTCAGGAGCACGTGGGCGAGTGGAGCAGCCGGGCGGTGCGGCTGTACCGCGTGGAGCTCGGCATGGGCTACCTCGAGCTGCCGCAGCCCGGGCCCGCGCCGCTGTCCCGGGGCGCGCTCGCCACTAGGAACGTTTACATCCTCGACGCGCACCTCGACGTCTTCGTCTGGTCAATATCTACTTATCCTTAGTCGAAATTTAACAGTGATTAAAGAGCTTATTTAGGAATTTTTTTCGGGAATGCAAAGAACTTACTGGTGGTAGGACCTCTTGTGTGTGAAGGGTGGGGCAGCCGTTGTAACTATACTGAGATCTTAGAACTTATATCTCAAGGTGGGTGGCGCATTTACGTTGTAGATGTCTATGGGCTCCAGTAACCACTTCACCCGGTGGGCTGTGAACTCGTCCACCCATCTAAGCAATAAAAAAAAAAGAAGAGTGATGTTGTGTGAAATGTTTTGTTTTGTCTACTTAGTGTTTCTTCAGGTTTAAATATCTAATAACGATGGTTTGTTAGCTGTTTAATATCTCTGAAACTGCACAAATGTAACAAAGTCGCTGGACGTAGCTTCTCGGGATCCTCCAAAAAGTTCACTGAAAAGATCTCAATAAATAACCACCATTTTACTGAGAGTAGAAAAAAGAAGAGAAAAAAAGAACTTTAAAAAACGATGCATTCTAATTTAATTTAATTTGATTATTTCGCGATTAAAATAGGAATATGATTTATTATTATTACGATTACTGGTGGCCCGGATGCCTTTCCAGTTTCATAAGAACAGGTGGGCGAGCGAGGGCTCAACCAGGAGGAGTGGGACTTGCTAACAGCTACCCGAGCGCCTCTAAAGCAGACCTAACAACTCAAGAGTAGGTGCTTCGCGAATGAATCTACTACCGGATCGGAATCGCAACCCGCTGAGAAGATCCGGCGAGAAACTCAGCGGGCTGATGTTTAGGTTAGGTTGCACGTCGAACTCTTTGCCTGTCTGCCCTGGTGGTAGAGCTAAACGCGTCAGGAATATGATCTACGATCGCCCATCGCCTGTTGCACTTAAAACGTAACGGGGACTGGTTAGAATGAATGAATGATGAATGATTGAATGGATAATGAATGAATGATTTATTTTATTTCAGACAACAAAAGTCCATATGTGTACATAGCATCATTGAAACATACTTAAAATTAACAAAACCAATCAAATAAAAAAGATACATTTATTAAAAATAATCATCAGTTGAATACATTTTAAATATGTTATCTATGACGACGCTTGTAGCTAAAAGTAAGTATTGTACTTTTTGACGAAGCATTTTGCTGATAACTCTATTTCTGTAATCTGACGAACCGTGTTGCGGATAATAACATGTACCTTTAGGTTATTTATGAATATTATGTTCTTTTTTTATAATAAATTATATTTGTTATGTATAATAAAAAGAGAGTTGAAATAAAACAAATCACACAACTTCTTTTTAAATATTCCATTCAACTGATAATGACTTCGAACCAACCATTATTATTATTTAGTCCGCCAGTGAACCATAGTACAATGGTTCAAGTACCGACAGTCATAACGGTCTATTAATGCCTAGAAAGTACTATAATTTAGTCTCCATACAGGTTCGGTAAGAAGTCCTCCCGGCTGGTGCGAGCAGCTGCGGTGAAGCTCGCGCAGGAGCTGTTCAACATGGTGACGCGGCCGCCGCACGCGCTCGTCACGCGTCTCCAAGAAGGGACCGAGACACAGGTGCGTTTGACCAAAACAACTAAGTATAAAAAAGTGTTATCAACGCCATCTATGATTCATAGACGTCACGCTGCGTCGATCGCGTATATGCGTAAGCAGCGCAGCACAGATCGTTGTGCCGAGGTTTGGTGAGGTCTTACTGGTGACAGGACCTGTTCTGAGTCCGCACGGGTAAGTACCACCGCCCGGCCTATTTCTGCCATGAAGCAGTAATGCGTTTCGGTTTGAAGAGCGGGGCAGCCGTTGTAACTATACTGAGACCTTAGAACTTATATCTCAAGGTGGGTGGCGCATTTACGTTGTAGATGTCTATGGGCTACAGTAACCACTTAACACCAGGTGTCACAATAAATCATTCATTCATCATTCATTCACAGGACACTTACTTAGGAATGTGTGACGTCATAGAAATATTTTTCTGGAGAGTAGTAAAATTAATTAGCTTACATTTGTATAAATAAATCGTAACTCGATTATGTTTTGTCTTCACCTACTATACACCTTGCTAATAAAACCGCAAACGCCACCTAGTTAATTTTTAGTAATACTGATTCAAATATTCACAGTGCTTGAGTTATACCTGATATTCTGAAAGTGATCGTACATAAAAAATATATATAAGTATATATTTCCATAAACTTTGAAACAGTAACCCGTCTGTGACTGTATTTTTGGAGTTTACTCCTTTAGAATCGATTTACATATATAGGCCCGGGGTATGAAAATTATGGGGACCAAAATCGTACTAGCATGTCACACGAAATGCGTTATGCGCCTGATTGGCTCCTGATTGCGTGATGCGTGCGCGCGCCAATCAGGAGCCAACGCGCGGCCGCGTTATCGCAGGTGACGCCGGGCTGCTGCGCCGGCAGTCCGCCACAAAGCCTCGTACTGATCGCGCGTTTCTCTCATTATTGTATTTTCATATATTTGTTAGTCGTTTGTTTTGTGTCTCGTTAATTTGTTAATAATCTGTAGTGTATCGTGTTGTCGTAATATAGAACTATTTCTCGTATTGTTTCGTTTAATTTTTTATATCCAGTAAACTCCAGTCGTGCGTCGGAGCGGACACACACACTTTTTTTTATTACATTTAATTTAGGCCTTCTTTAGGATTCTTGTTCTTTAGGCCAAATCATCATTTGACTTATGTATTATAACAAAAAATGTAAAGTTAATAAAATAGCATAATCATGTAAAGTAGATTAATTGATTTTTTTATTATTATCTTAATTGAATTGATTTCAAAATTTAATTAGGTGTTCAAAACGTATTTCCTGGGCTGGGACGAAATCATAGCGGTGGACTTCACGAGAACTGCAGAGTCTGTGGCGAGGACCGGGGCAGACCTCGCCAGCTGGGCCAAACAACAGGAGACTAAGTTAGTTTTAACTAGCTACTTACTAACTAGCTAACTAGACAAATTTGATGAATACAAACACATAACGAGCGACCCGTATGCTCATCTGCCTGTAATGGTATTTTAAAAAACTCATAAAAACTCTAAACAAGGTTATGGACTCATACTGGATCTGGTAATGGATAATCAGAATCAATGTTTTTTTTCTTCGTATAAGTGTTTTCATGCGTTTTTAAATGCCGAGCCAAACTTGGACCGCGGTCTGACCGTTAGTACCTGCCAGTATAATTTAATGATATTCTAATTTCTTAGCTCTGCGTTCAATTCTGACGTACTAGCCTGAAATTTATTTTTCCAAATACCGAACATTTTTACTAAATACCTTTGAATTAATTATAATTATATAATAATGTTACGCGCTGGGGTTCGGGATTAATAAAAATTCTACTAAATTACAAGTTAACACTGTATTCAACACTTAGGACACTTAAAACACTTCACTACACTTTAAAATTCTCAATTCGCTTCTTTAGCTTCGTTTCAGGTGATGCGTTCGCTGTTTCGCTTCAAGAAGTTCCGATTACTGACTAACTGCGTGCCATCCCTACAACGTTTTTATAGTTGATACCATATTTTATAGTCAATACCACATCCCTAGAGTTATCGCGAATATTCCACACATCTCTAGTATTGTGTTTCCGCTATCTGACAATAGATGGCGTTGTACTTCTCGAGCGCACTAGGTGCTACTAGATCCCTCGATATTCGTTCGACTATTCGGCGATAGATGGCATTGCTCTTACCGGCGTAACAATAACTGTATGTGTTTAAAGCAATTCTAAACATGAAGTTTGTATGACTGTTTTTTGAATTTTGAAACACAATAATAATTGTGGCAACATAGTCATTGTAACTCAATCAAAAATTTTGGTTGTACGTGCACGTGTTGTAACTATATTAAAACAAAATAAAAATAACTTTTCTCTGAATATATCTAATTATTGAAGCGACCAGTACAAATTACAGTCCACGCTCTACACAATATGAACAATGTTAAAATCAACTAGTAGCGATGCCAATGAGATGTTGTTGAATAATTTGAACAGGGCCGATCTATCAGCGCTGTTCACGCCGAGGCAGCCGGCGATGACGGCGTCAGAAGCGAAGACCCTCGCAGACGAGTGGAACGAAGACCTGGAAGCGATGGAGGCCTTCGTGCTGGAGGGACGCCACTTCGTCCGGTTGCCCGAGAACGAACTGGGGGTCTTCTACAGCTGTGATTGCTACGTGTTCCTCTGCAGATATGTCTTGTGTCCTGATGTAAGTCTGTACGCTTGCGTACTGGTAGCGAGGGGTATAGCCAGGTGGGGGACGAACAAACCTGTTGATATTTTCTTTTTTCGATAAATATTATTTTTCTTGTCTACGCAAAGATGGTATTTTTGCTCAAAAAGCAGGTTTTGGTATTTTTGGTCAAAAAGCAGATACATTTCTACAATAGGCGGTCTTATCGCTAATAGCGATATCTTCCAGACAACCGTTTAATTTACAGAAATTCTGGAAAATACAAAAATATAGTAGGTATGTTGCGGTGTACTGTAGACAATACATTTTGAATTTACACAATATAGTTTTTATTAATTTTATATTAAATTGTGTTTTTTTTTTAATACCAGGCCGAGGAAGAGAGCGAGGGCTCCAACGTGGATCACGAGACGGAAGACGACGGTGAATCCGCCACCTGGGTCGTGTACTTCTGGCAGGGACGTAGGGCTCCCAACATGGGCTGGCTGACGTTCACCTTCGGTCTTGAGAGGAAGTTCAAGCAGCTCTGCAAGCGCCTTGAGGTCGTCCGGACGCACCAGCAGCAAGAGAGCCTCAAGTTCCTCTCGCACTTCCACAGGCAATTCGTGCTCAGAGACGGCAAGAGGAATCTTAAACCGGTAGGGACCTAAATAGTATCTTATGGCCATAATTATATAGTTGATATTGACTTGTAACCGACTCGGTGGTGTTGTTATTAGCGCTTCTAACTGATGGGCATGTCTTTAATACCTGTGTATGTATTTATTTAAATATACTAGCTGTACTCGTCCGCTTCGCTTGGAATTTAAAATTAACATTATTATTTCTCACCCCCACAAACATTCTCATCATCAACGCCCCCGCAACCGGTGTAGGGATTCCAACACTCACATCAATATTAGCCTATCCATGAAGTGCATGTATTTTTTATATGGATACCAAGTTTCAAGTCAATCGGATGCATGGTTCAGTAGTTATAGCGGAACATCCGTAAAAACCACTGTAGATTTATATATTAGTATAGATATAACTATGTATTTCAATCCCTGGTTTCCATAGTACAGGAAAACCTAGTTTTGCACTAAGAAACCGAATGTAACTGTTCTCCAGTTATGTGAAAGCTTTCGCCATCAAAAAAACACGGCTTGAGATTCAGCTTGTTACAATTTATTGTATTTTTGTTTGGTTTTTTATTAATGCTTCTTAAATTAATTTTAGAGCGTAATCAATAATTCAAAAATTTTTAGGAACTCATTCTCACTCAGTCCTTTTAGGCCACGACGACTTCAAAATGTCCATTGAGACAGATATAAAAACGGGTAAAAAGCATCGATACAGGAGAGAAAGGAACGGGACTATTCTCGATTTCTCGATGCGCTCTCAATTATGTGGAAATATTTTTGTAGGTATAACGACGAAAGGGAGATCTTCCGCCGAGCGAGTGATATTGTTCGGTAGACCGACGGTCCGAATGTTGTTGTTCGGAACTTGTATATATGCAAGCTTATGTTTAAAATATCGTAAGCGAGATTCAGGCATCTGTCAAATATCTTGCGTTGTATGATGGTTACCGCCACAATTTTCAAACGACGCATCCGTGAATTTGAGAGATTTAATCTGTCGGTGACTTGTTATACCAGGAGGGTCGTCTGCCCGTCGAGTTGTTCGAGCTGCGTAGTAACGGCTCCGCGCTCTGCACCAGGCTGGTCCAGGTCAAAGCGGAGGCGTCCCAACTGAACAGTGCCTTCTGGTGAGTAAGAAACCTAAACGTCAAGTTCGCTGGTGTACCGTCCAAGTGTACATCAATTACTTAAAAATTAAACAGTAATCAAACTATACTGAGACCTTAGAACTGATATCACAAGGTGGATGACACATTTACATCGTAGATGTCTATGGGCTCCAGTAACCACTTAACACTAGGTGGGCTGTGAGCTCGTCCACCCATCAAAGCAAAAAAAAAAGCAGATGAATGGATGTAGGTTCATACATGCCCTTCGGCATGATAACGTGAACGCAGTCACGTTACTTTCCTACAAACATGATATCAAAGTTTCAATAGTCAATAAAACGACTCACCCACTCTTCGAAGAATTAGGCAGGATAGTACCTATATTTGACTGTGACAGGGAATCGAACACGGTTTGACTAAGACAATAAACAGTATCGCAAAATACTACACAAAAGAGACGATCGGACTATAGGTGGTACAATATATGAGGCCGTCAGCACAAAAGTGGCCTAATCCACAATTCATTTTCATGCTTATATATTGCAATTTATTTAAAACATAATAAATTTTGATGCAAAATCGGCCTATCCCTAATTTCATCCGTAGATAACAGATGACTTTGTAAACATCATTTTAGCGCGTATTTTTTTTGAAGTGAAACTTTTAGAATCGTGATTTCAAACTCGATGAAACGAAAAAATAAGTCCATAGAGACACAAACACATAAATGTATAGGATTCAGCCGGCGAGACAATGAGATAGAACACATTAGACGTTCTCGGACTCCTCTTTGTGCGACTCTTCGTAGCATCGCCACTATCGTCTACTAAACATTGTCCATATGTATGCTCCTGTGTAGTAGGATAGTCAGTATATCGAGTAATATCGACGCTTGAAAGGCAAACTAACTGACTAAGGTGACTAAGCGACAATAACTGCTTTATACATAAATGATAGGCAATATCCATATTCGATGCGCAAAGAAAATTATATTTCTAGGTCTATTAAAATCATTTCAATCCTACAGCTAGATTCGTTAAAATATAAATTTTTTCAGGTATTTCAACTTTAAATTAGTCTACTGTAAAGTTCACGCATTGTCACTTAGTCACGTTTGCCTTTCAAGCGCCGATATCTATATCTATACCTTATTTATAAGTTTCACTTCTTATGTGACTTGCACACACACACACACTTTTTTGCCTACGAAGTATTGTAAAGGTAAATTCGAACCTCATTATCTCCGTACTAACTATGGTAAGCTTGGCCACTTTTGCGCTGACTACCTCATATAGAATTTTTTTTTTTTTTTTTTTTTTCTCTATATTTATCTGCAATCGGCTCTATAGCCATAATCAGATGTGTTCCAAGAGGTTCGAGTTGTGGATGACATAACATTAAATGTCATCAATTACAGCAGTAGATTTAATATCTTTGGTCATGGATCTGGTGGTCTTTGGTCTTTGGTGGATCATATAGAAGTGGGTAAACGATTTTTATTTTATTGCAGCTACATTTTAAACGTACCGCTGGAAGGTAACGGGGAAACGTCGTCCGCCATCGTGTACGCGTGGATCGGGAGCAAAAGCGACCCCGACTCCGCGCGACTCATCGAGCAAATGGCCGAAGATAAGTTCAACAACCCGTGGGTCAGCCTACAGGTAACTAATGTCCTCCAACGACTCAGTGACTCCATATAACCCGTCCAAATCAAACCTTCAAAAAGTGTTCCCTATCTCTTTTTAACAGTCTCCTTAGAAGAGGATGAACGATCTGCTTTCGAAGAGTCTGTTTAATACAAATTGAGCGTCAAGTACACGCCGGATATTCAGACAAAACAATGAATTGTTGTCATTAAGAACGTTTAAATGTCGGATGTTACTCGCAGCACTAAAGATAATCTCAGGGACATGGCTACGAGATATACTACAAAATTATACCATGAAATGCAATAAATTGTGATGCCATTGCAAGCATTGATTTACCTGTATTCAAGTATTTAGTAAATCTAATTAATTAAATGAAATGATTACCTTAACTGAATCTGAAAGGGAACTAAATTTTTGCACATTGACTTTTATCAAATAATTGAATCAAGATAGAGTTGATATATATGTGCAATAATTTAACAAAAGCAAGGGTATGAAGAATTTAATTAATATTATGTATTAATACTAGCGGTAGGCAGCGGCTTGGCTTGCTGACCTCATTGAACGACCAAAATCACTCACCATCAGGTTGGGCGGTATGCCTACTAGTGTAATTAAAAAAAATGTGCTTTTGATCTTGCATAGGTATTAACGGAGGGTAGCGAGCCAGATAATTTCTTCTGGGTGGCGCTCGGTGGCCGCAAGCCTTACGACACAGACGCGGACTATCTCAACTATACGAGACTGTTCCGGTGCTCAAACGAGAAAGGATACTTTACAGTCTCCGAGAAATGTACGGACTTCTGTCAGGTAAGTCATTTTTTAAAGTTTATTTACTAGCTACTATCGCTTGTGTGTGAAAAACATCTGTTTGTTTAAACTAGTCAGGTGCCATGGTACATTGTAGGCACTATGATAAAAATACTTACTAAAATGTATATATTATCTAGACATAATTATAACTCAATCATGCAGAAAACGTACGAAAAATATATACACCTTTTTTTAATTTTGGGGATGTGAACTGTTAGAAATATATAATATGAATTATTATTATTTTATTTAGGATGATTTGGCTGATGATGATATTATGATATTGGACAACGGAGAACAGGTCTTTCTGTGGCTTGGAGCAAAATGTTCTGAAGTGGAAATAAAGCTTGCATACAAATCTGCACAGGTACTTAATTGTTACATTTGCTAATGAGTTTCAATCAAACAGTTAGTTTCCTAATGAACATTGAAGTTCAGTGTTCTAGAAATTAATACAAAAATGCAGAAAAAATATTTTCATACCGTACAATTTCATTATGATTGATACATATCAGGTATAGTTCCAAAAAATACCATTTTCATGCCTAAAATCAGTATTAACTACATTAAGCAATGCATATTTTAGTAAGTTAATATTCAGTTACATGAATAATACTAATAATATCTGATATTATCAAATCTACATCTATCCCCCCATGCATCACCTATCAATGTAGATGACATTAAACACTACATTATTTACTGTGAACTAATATCTATGAAATAATGTCTAGGTGTATATACAACACATGAAAACCGTACAACCAGACCGTCCAAGGAAACTGTTTTTGACACTAAAAGACAAAGAGTCACGTCGGTTCACCAAGTGCTTCCATGGCTGGGGGGATCACAAGCGGCCTCCAGAATAAATTTGAACACCGTGTAGTCAATTGGCTATAATTTTACTTTAATGGTTAACATCTTGCTGTTTTTTTTTTTGAATAAGCACTTTCAACATAAGAAAGTTTACCAGAGTGATAATGTTACATGCATATGGAGGCCTTAAATAATGGACATGAAAGAGATAAAATATTCAGGAACTCACAATAGGTATGGAGACAAAATAAAAAACACCTAAAAATTCAGAAATTCAGCATTTACTTTGTAAATAATTTTAAATATGTTTAATGTTTTGATTCTCTGTATCTATAGAAATTAATGTGCATTCTAGGGTCCATGGGTTTTAGTAATCTCTCAACTTCAGGTTTTGTAAAGCATTAATAGGAGATGAGTGTACATCCTACTTGATGGTAAGTAGTCACCATCACTCGTGGACTTGCTTGTTCCATATAAATATGTTGTACATGCAAACAAGGAACTAAAATTCCAAGCAACATATTTTTCCTTTAATTCCTAACCCAATTTGTTGATTGATTGTAAAACAAATATTTTCCTGTCTAAATAAATTACAATTTAACATAAAATGAAACCATTTGTTCAAAATGAAAGACTGAATCATGCCATTTTAATGAACATTATTTTATTCAGATTTTTTCTTAATAATAATACACAAGAGTAATGAGATTACAAGTTATTTATTGGAAAGAGTAACTTTTGACTAGAATAGATGATTGACTTTTTGTTACTCCCTTGTAAAGACATCTTTTTATAATATTGCATTTATGTTAAATACACAACTTTTTAAAAATAAATGTATTCACTGACTTCACATACTGTTTTATTTTAAAGTAAAGCTAAAGAAGGTTGGTATTATTACTATCTTGTTTTTATTTGAAATTGTGAAATAGAATTGACAAAAAGTAGTAAGCTTTTTTAAGTGCATTACTGTTCAATAAATGGTAAGTGTTAAAACAATTTGTCAATGAAAACTCTTAATGACATTAACAATAACATTTGTTTTTGCCCAAATCAATTTCAAGCATTATTTAAACTGAAACAAAAAAAAAATGATAACTAGAACCTTCAATTTACAAAATAAAGAGTTGTACATTTTGACTGTTAGTCAAATAAAAAGTATTTAAAAATGAAAAAATTGTTTAACTTTGTTTATGTACAGAATGACAACATTTGGTAAATTTTATTTAAACCTAGGGCAAAAACGACGCTAAAACATATTTAATTAATATCATGGGGTATTATTTTTTTGGTACGGTACAGGGAGAAAAAAGAAACTTGATAAAATACCAGTTATGAAATTAGTCGTCATCATCGTCATCGTCCGATGGTACAAAGAGTTCATTTTCTTCAAGGAAATTTGCTATGTTTTTACTAATAGCAGCTCCGATTAGTAAGCCCGGGACGACAGCAAAAACAATACACAGCAAACCAAAAGGTTGTTTTTGTGGTTCGGGTAAAATAGCACCAGTTGGAGTAGTAGTTGCAGTTCTTAAATGTATAATCGGTTCGTGTTTCGTTAAAGTCTTGGACTGTGCCACAAGACGGGTTAGTCTAAAAATCGCCATTTCTAAAAAATCACGTTTTTCCTCTTCTCTTCGTAATCGCACTCAGGCTACGTTAGAAATGGTGAAAAAATAGAATTTTTAATGTAATTTATTTTTATCCAAATTTTCAACAGTCAACCATAGACAAGACCTTCATTAGACTGTCAATCGCGAATTCTTGAGTAGTCCTATTTTTTCAACTGGAAAGGCAAAGGAAAAAATTATAATATAAAATAAACTGAAATGAGATGATATATGGGATTAAATTTTGTAATCTCAATAAAATGGTAGTTATTTACTGAAGATTTTTGGAGGATCTCGAGAAGCAACGTACAGCGACTTTGTTTCATTTTCCCACATTTGTGCACTTTCACAGATACTGTTACAGAACTGTTCATGTCATTTAATTTCATCTCAATTGATTAATGTCTCAAATTAATCAACTTCATTTCATTTCGGTCCATATCATTTTTTATTAAAAAGATTAGAAAATACCAAAAATTAGATTGTATGGTTTGACCAAGCTTAGTGATTCTGATACCTGCGCCTTTCCAGTTGGAAAAATCGAACTATTACTCAATCATTTGTCAAAATTCCCAAATAAGAAAACAGCTAAGATAAACTCGTTTAATTGAGCAAAAATTTATTGCATTGTACATACCTATTGTTTATAATTTTTTTATGAAATAAATTATTAAGATGAATATTACACAAACAAGCTTAGAAGCACTTATTTGTAAGTTTAATCAAGGTTTCTATTCTTAAAAAAAAAAACTCCTGTTAGATGTTGTTTTGGTCATTTCAGTAAAAGCTACTCACGAATCATTACCGGCTCCCGATGCAGCGGCTGTAGAAGCATTCTGCACGATTATGCGAGACTCTGCCGAAGGTCCCCAACTGGCAGCGCAAGCTCTGGCCACACGTATCCACAGTCCGAAGGCCCGTGAAGCGCTACTTGCATTGATGATGTTAGATCGCTGTATGCGGCGATGCGACACGCCTTTCCATGCGGAAATCGGAAAATTTCGCTTTCTTAATGAAATGATAAAATTAGTGTCACCAAAATATTATGCAGATCGTACAGCGCCAGAAGTAAAGACAAGGGTAAGGAAAACATTATGTTTTTTCAGAATATAGTCATAGTAAACTAGTCAGGTGGTGCGAGGGAAAGTCGAGGGCAAAAGATGGACCGACCTCATAAAATCTGTGACTCACTCCAACATAAATGATTGCTCTCACTCTGTGAAACATCGTGCTACATGGCGTCGCATCGCGAGAGCATCGGTATCGCAGGATCTGACTGATGCATGACCACAAACAATAGAATAGGAAGAAGAAGAAAACTAGTCAGAATTAAGATTATGTTAAAAAAATTAAATTAATATTTTAGTCTTACTCGTAGGTTTTGCAGTTGTTCCATGCATGGTCTATAGAATATCATAAGGAGTTTAAATTCAAAGTAGCATATGAGATGTTAAAAAATCAAGGTGTGATAAGAGAGACACCTCCTCCTTTACCGCCAGATGATACACCTCCAGTACATAATCGAGCAAAAAGTACTATATTTGAAGATGAAGAGAAATCTAAACTGTTACAAAAATTATTACAAAGTAAAAAATCAGAAGATTTACAACATGCCAATAGACTTATAAAAACTATGGTTAGAGAGGCAAGTACTGTTAATAAAACTATTTTTACCTTTTGAATATTACATTTAATAGAAAAAAATGATGTAGATTAACAGTTAAACTGACAAATTACTAGATGTTATGTAGTTACTGTAATCTACAAGGTTGAGATCTCCATTGTGTGCAAGTGTTATCTCAATTTTCAAACAGAAACTTTTCATTGCTTTGAAGCAGAAGCAAGCAGGTGGTCCTTACCCATATAGGCATATAAGAAGTCCTAACACTAGTAATTAGATAAAGTTTCTATCATTTTGTCATAATCTTATTCAATGTGGATGTCAATTCTGAACAAAAATAAATGGTGAGATAGTGCTTTTGCATTTTAAATATGTGTAACATTATGTAGTGACCTAAATTAAAATATTGCATCAAAATAATATTAATTTGGGTAACATTGAAACTGAACAATTACCGGAACAGGTAGAACGTCAGAATGAGGCAAACAGCAGACGCGCACAAGAAGTTAGTGCGGCTCTAGATAGTGCCGGGCTATTACGTGACATGCTACTGGCAGCCAGTGATGCTTCATCGGACGAGGAGCAACTGATCCACGAGCTACACTCAACTTGCATTAGACTTAGGCCCATTCTGCAGCAACTGGCTGACAATGACACACAAGCAGAATATCTTAGTTAGTATAATAAATTTTCAATTTACATAAAAAAATTGCTGCCATTTTGAAAACGTAAGATTAACTTGGCATTAATAAATTTTAATTCATATTTGTAGTCAAAATTGCTATCCACCTGTGGTGTTCCTCTTAAATATGAAATTAAGTCTAAAAAATCTGCTACTAATGAGATTTATGTATTTTTTATGATTTTTTTACTGTATATTAAGATTAAGATTTCCGATGCTGAAACAGATGGATAAAACAATATTCTTAAATTTATCACTTTATAACATGAAACAATGATTTAAAGGAAAAACAGCTCCCCAAGGTACACTATTGAGTTCATTGCATTTTGTGTACAAAAAGGTTTTTTTTTTTTATTTAACAAAAGGAATCTTTGCCATTAAAAATACAAAGAATCCAACACCATTACTTAATTGATAATACCATTAATCGAGTAAATATTTACATAACAGGTGATATTTTACATGCCAGTGATGTGATAGATGAAGTCTGCGAGAGGTACAATGTTTTCTTAATTCAGAAAAAAGCAAATGAACAAATGACAGAACAGGCATCGTTGAGCGGTGAAAGCTTACTTGATTTTGCTGGAGCAAGTACTACTTACATTCGAAAGAATGTGGCCCCGAAGAAAGATGAAAAGCCAGCAAATGTTATTGATGAACTAGGCGATATATTCGCTGCTAGCAGTGAAAGCACTAATAATATTGCTGAACCATTAAAGCCTGTTGCATTGATGCCCACTGGTTAGTACATAGCCACATTACAACAGTATACATTTATCTGTATACTTATAGACCTAGAGTATTATTATTACATGACTAAATTTGTTGACTAAATATTAAGAAAACATTCAAAGATGTTTTCATATTATATATATTATGTTTTATTATTTAATAAGAAACTTATTCACATGTGCTCGGTAACAAATCAGTTCATTGTGTGTCTGTCTTTATCCAACCCGCACTTAGCAATCCTTTTATTAAAAGGAGAACAGGTACCCTCACTAATACACTACAATATAGTTTTTTTTTATTGCCTAGATGGGTGGACAACACAGCCCACCTGGTATTAAGTGGTTACTGGAGCCCATAGACATCTATAACGTAATGCGCTACCCACCTTGAGATATAAGTTCTAAGGCCTCAATATAGTTAGTTACAACGGCTGCCCCACCCTTCAAACTGAAAGACATTACTGCTTCACGGCAGAAACAGACAGGGTGGTGATACATACCCACACGGACTCACAAGATGTCCTTCCACTAGTAATTACGCAAATTATACCCACCCATAATATAAATAACTTTATCAAACTCAAAATTTTCACCATCTGCCAATTTAACTATATTATTCACACAATAGCAGATGATGTCGACTTGTTGGGAGACAGATCTAATAAACATGAAGGTTGGAACGAATTGGATTCCCTTGGAGAAGAACTATTAAAACAATCTCTACCAGAGAATGCTAAACGGATTGAAAACTTTAATAGGTATTCTTCTATTAATATTACATAAAATTCTCTCAGTTCCTCTATAAAAATGAAACTGTATAATATTTATAACTTTTTCAGTAAAACATCAACAAAGGTACCAATGAACGCATTGGCCTCACCAAAACATGATGTGAATTTACAGAACAACGGCGCATTACTAGATTTAGATTTCTTCACCAAGAAACCTCAGGAATGTAAACCTGTAACTGCGTCAACTTCTAAAGATGTGACACCCAGCGATGACATCATGGTGGATATTAGCACAGACGTTACTGATGCAACTCTCGTTTTGAACAACAATACTGAGTGTAATTTAAATAATATATTGGATTTCGGATTAGACAATGCCAAAAGTGAAACAGTAATTGATAAGGAAACTAGTGTTATTGAAAAGAAAGAAGTAAATCATAAGAATAACGAAGTGAAACCGTTGACTGATATAAATGTTACGTTGCAAAACGTAAGACCCAGTAAATTACAGCCGCTTACAGTGTTTGAAGAGGAAGAAGGTGTGACAGTTGTTTTACATTTCTGCCAAGATAAACCGAGGCAAGATGTTAATGTTTTAGTCATATCGACTACAAGTAAGAATAAATTGCCCATCGAAGATTATAAATTCCAAAGTGTAGTTCCTAAAGTGAGTGAAATTTTAAAATTGTATTTGTTTTTCTTCTTTCATGTTGAAACAACGAAATTGTTTTGCCAGCATTTTTTTTAAATGACATAGGCTATAGTAATCGGCAAACTTCTTGAGCAAATGACCTTGACTGCGCAGAACCGAATTTTAGGTCACTTTGGTGGTGAGGGTGAGGCGCGACGGCAGGGGAAATCGTATCGAGCGCGTTATTGGTAGATCAGTCGAACCTTGCGTCCCGCACCGCGCCCTCATTCCGCTTGCTCCCAAAAGTACGCTTGCGTACAGTGGAAAGTCTATCGTTATTAATCGTTAAGTTATTTGTTATAATTGCTTGTGGACTTTGTTGCCATTGCTATTTGTTGAGTGTTTGTTGATTTTTTATAAAACATACACTATGCCGTGACAAACTGGTGTAGTACTTAAAAGAAAGGGTAGAAAATTTGTGTACGACGTATATTGCTTCATTATAAAACAGGGGAAGAATGATATGGAAAAATTAAAACAGACTTCGGAAGCAACAAAAACATCAGTGAGTACTGTTAGGTGCATTATTAACGAAGCTAAAGGCTCTGGCTTGCTCGCCGTGTTTCGGACTCCGGGTAAGAAAAGATCAGGGAAGAAGAAAGTTACCGGAATGGATAGTTTCGTTCAATCTGTAATAAAAAGATGTAATCATAATAACTACATAACAAGCAGCGAAACTCCGTACCGTAGAAAGGCTTCGAAAAATTTAAAGAAGATATAAATTTTAATGGCTCGGAATGAAGCTTACGACGAATTATGAAAGAGCTAGGCTTCAGATGGAAAAAAAGAACAGAAAATAATCGGAAGCTGGTAAATGAAAAAAGTAACATTCGATTACTACGAATCGAATATCTTCAAAAAATAATTAATTATAGACAAAAAAGAAGACCGAATCGACCGAGTTGTAAACTACGCCGATGAGCCCTATGTCGACTCATCACGATGATAGCGACTCGGGTGATGAAAACAGTGATGATGATGATGGTCAAGATTATGATAACGAAAAAAAAATTACAAATACCAGCTTCGCTTTAACTGAACCAAAACCTGGCAACAGCTCTAGTTTTGACTTAATAGAAGGAATATCTATTTTACCCCAAGATTAAATTATTACAATTATTAACCTATATGTTTTGTTAATGTTCTAATAAATATATAAATAAATACATATGTTGATTTTAATAATTTAATTGCATTATGATGCAGAGTAAGTAATGTTTTTGGACGTGAGTGTACCATGCGCAAACTTACCCCCACTACGTCAACAAATGCTCAAGAAGTTTGCCGGTTATTATACCTTTTATTACGAAAAAACTTCTCACGGTAAACTACGGCCGTTTTCCAATTACAGCACAAGAGCGCGTTATGCGGCATCATGCTCAACTAGGCTTCAGCATAATTCGGCATTGTGCGTCACTGAGTCGCATTATGGTCTGTAATTGGAAAACTACCATTAAGAAATGGTTAATTCGGCATTGTGCGTCACTGAGTCGCATTATGGTCTGTAATTGGAAAACTACCATTAAGAAATGGTTAATTACAGAACATAATGCGACTCAGTGACGCACAATGCCGAATAATGCTGAAGCTTAGTTGAGCATCATGCCGCATAATGCGCTCTTGTGCTGTAATTGGAAAACGGTCTATATCGACGCTTCTCGTTGACCCCAAGTGATTATTATCTAAAACTTCATTAAAGATTTCATCCAGATTTATTATTCTCTTTACGTTTCAAATACTTTACGAATATTAAATTGTAAATTATAAACCAAACTTTAAAAGTGCTATGATTGGCTTCTACGATTCACTCCAAAAAAAATATATATATGAGAATTTTATAAATGCGTGTGTATTTAGTAACTACTTGTAACTAACGTCTGTGTAATACAATTTCAGGGTTGTAAAGTTCGGCTACTGACACCGTCCGGGACGTCACTGCCGGCGTACAATCCATTCCTGCCGCCGCCAGCCCTGACGCAGGTCATGCTGCTCGCGAAGCCGCCTTCTATGAATAACATTAGCCTGAAATTCGTTATCACGTACACGTGCGACGAGGAGGTGTATTCAGAAATCGGCGAAGTCAAAGAACTGCCTCTAGAGAAAATCTAACATAATCTTTAAAACATTAAAATGCAGTCGGTGATCGGTGCAATTGTTGGATCCGGAGAAATTAGATAATGAATAATCAGATAATGTTTATTAAAAAAATATATGGACGCATACTGAACACTAAAACCGGCTTCAAATTGATACATCGATAGAACCGGAGTGTTGACTATGAACTAAGTAACCATTCTTTTATTCAAATAAAATATCTTGCTACACCTTTTAGCAAATCTCATAATTACTAAATAATTAAGTTTATTCATTAAATGTTACAGAGAACAAAACAATTTTACTTAGTTTGAACTGTCGTCTGTCAAGCGATATTAATGCGCGTACGCTATCCTACCGCGCTTGTTTAAAATTTCGCGCTTTGACAATTATTAATATTGTATTTTATAAATCGGTACTAAAAAAAATGATAATTAATAATATTGAATTAAAGTATGTACATTAAGAATTATATCTAGTCGTCGCTGTATTAGCGAACAAAAATGTACTTATTAACATTCCTAATGCGAATATTCTTATTTGTATTTAATAGTTATTTAGTTTTATTACACTAAAAATTGACGTCTTTTATATAATTGAATCCTAATGTTTTAAAAAAAAGTATTTAAATTTGACGTACAAGTACCAAGGGCGGATCCAGCTTTGGTGCCAGGAGGGGGTCACATAGTCATGGTCAAGTCAAGAACTTATAATTTAATTTTGATAACAATAGATACAAGTAAAAAGTAGGTATTTTATTATAAGCACATTAAAGGTATAAATAAATTTTAGTTTTTTAACTTAGAACTATGTTATGATATGTTGAAGTTTAGTCGTTCCGATTCCGATTGAGGTTAGGATTCAATTTGAGGTTAGGCCTAGCTAGACGTTACGTAGTCGACAAGCGCGCGCGAGTGTGGCGCGGTAAAATTCAAATTTTCGATGCGTTCGTTCCCAAACATTTGCCATCATACAAAGTTATTATATTATATTAAATTAATTAAGGAGCAATATAAGCAGCAATAATATACCTAGTCTTGCCATAAATACTGAAACAAAGGAAAAAAAAATTCTATTGCAAATAACATTTATTACTTTTACAGTGTGTTAGTTTAATACATAAATATAAAACAATTTAAAGTATAAAAAGCTTATTCGAAGTGGTCTCCATAGGCTGCAATACAGTCCTTTAAACATTAAGGCCAGTTATCAATAGAAGCACGCACTCTTTCCATGGAAAAATTTTTCACTGCTAATCGTGCGGATTGTTTTAGGGACTCCAAATTATCATGGCGTTTAGAGCAAGCCGTACTCTCTAAAACTGACCATAAATCATAATCCAGCGGATTAAGATTGGGACTAGACGACGGTCAGTCTTCAGCTCTGATGAAGTCCGAAACGTTCGTTTCCAACCAAGACTGCGTAGACCGAGCTTTATGACCTGGCGCCGAGTCTTGCTGGAAGGACCATTCTTGATTATTGAACATGGTGTTGTTAAGAGGCTTCACTACCTTCTCAAGAATGGTATCTTGATACACTTGTGCCGATGTTTTGATACCTTTTTCACAAAAGTATGGCTCAGTCACTCCTTCATAGCTGATACCCCACCAAACCATCACTGAAGTCGGATAGTGCCCACGTTGCACTCTGTCGACTAATTGGGAAGCTTCCTTAGAGCTTTGAGCATAAATACGGTCATTTTGTTTGTTAAAATGTTGCTCAATTGTAAAAAAAAATTCTCATCCGTAAACAAATTTTTTCTATGACCTTCCTTTGCGTACCGTTTCAGTAGTTGTTTCGATTTTACCCCCCATTTTCTTTTAAATTATCAGTTAAGAAATGACCACTAGGTCTCTTATAGGAACATTCTAACCGGCGCCATCTAGGCGGGCTTCGGATAGCCTGCCGACCGAGAGGGCTGGTGGTCGTGGCGCCGACGACCGCCAGTCCAGCGTCCCGAGGGGGAGGGTGATGGGAGAGATGTGCTCCGCACTAAACGCTTCACTTTCCCCCCTTTGCCTTTTCATGAGTTTTGTCTCATGCGAGGTTTGGACGTTGGTTGTTGAGAGACAGGAGGTTTTAGTCGGTTCGACTCCGACATGCCCCGCCCTCCATCCCCAGTGAAGGGAGGAAGTCCGGCGATCCGGCGAAAAAAAAAAAAAAGGTCTCTTATAGGCTGCAAGTCTTAAGTCATCTTTTAAAATACGCGACATGGTTCTAGGTGCTATCTTCATCTCCCGAGATAAAATCTTTTGCTTTCGGACAGGATTTCTTCGAATTCTTTCCCTTACTGCTTTGACCACCTTTTTCGTACGAACACTACGTGGACGGGTAGATATTTTGCTGTCACAAACAGAGGAGGTCTCATTGCACCTATTAATAGCCCGGTACACAAACATTTTACTAATACCAAGCGTATGGAGAGTTTTAAAAATTGCCTTTGGCTCCATACCTACTTTGCGTAATGCAATCACAGCGATTTGGTTTTCTTTATCACCCCACTCCATTTTAATATCGCAAAATATAATACAATGTATTTGCGTCAAAATGAGAAAACTCAATGAGCAATCATATAAAAATGACAGATTCCAAATTCAAATGTAATATTTTGTTTATTTTTAATTGTAACAGTATTTATGGCCAGACTAAGTATTGTGTCCTTAAATCATTATGTTCAATATGTGGTCCACCTAGGTCCCGGAACCAGCTCAGGGGGGGGGTCATGACCCCCATGACCCCCCCCTGGATCCGCCCTTGACAAGTACCTAGTTTTAATGATATTAGTTTTAGTTTTGCATTTATGGAGATCTGATACAATATACCATAGTATTATGTGCGCTATAAATAGATATATTGATGTTTCATGGGAGCTTGTAAATGTTCCATGAAATATGTATTTGTTGAACGAAATACACACTTTAAAAATGAAGTTGACTTGGTCATATTTTATTTACTTTTACAATCCATCTATACTGTTTAAACGCTCAGATACTTCTGTGAAATTACCTTAAATGTTTCAGATTTATAATACGATTTTTGTATCACTTATCTCACTTGCGAATGAATATCATTTACGTCCATTCCAATTATTATTGTTAATCAATCACCTAGCTGAACCCTTCAGGGCGAATCTCGAGTCATCAGCTATCCTTCCATCCCAAAAAAGCGATGTAATGAAAACGATAAAAGTAGCTTTACTTCAGTTCCCTAACATACAATTACCTATCGCTTTTTCGAAGTAATTACAAACACAATACAATATACATATACAATACTAGCGGCCCGCTCCGGCTCCGCTCGGGTCTTTAACAAAAATTTCAATGATATTTGACATTGTTTTATTCTTTTAAATAAAAGAACACTTATTGCGGCATAACTATAATAGTTGGACATATTATTATGCTGTCGCGACACTTTTTGTAAATGATAACGTGTTCTACAAAGTCGTAGCATATTATTTTATTCTATCATCAATAGCTTTCGCAGGGCACGCGATGTAAAAAATATTTTAGGCAATTTTTTTACATCTTGGGTTACGTTATTGGAGTTTTAGTAAGGATCCCTAATTTTTTCAAAAAATGTTTATAGCCTATGTCACTCGGATATAGTGTAGCTTTCAAACAGTAAAAGAATTTTTCAAATCCGTTCAGTAGTTTCGGAGCCTATATGCAATACAAACAAACAAACAAATCTGTCCTCTTTATTATATTAGTATAGACAAATAAAAATTCAAAAACTATTATTTATTCTCTGCATTGCTACTTTATCACCAGGTTTGAGCCCCGTGAGCTCACCTACTAAAGTTAGGGTTACGCTGACATAGCCGCTAGGGCTAAAACACAAACACAAAAATTCCAAAGCACAACCGAACAAAATCGGTAGGTTAAAAAATGCTCTACGCGTGGTAGTTCTAACAGCTCACTGACATTTCTAAAATAATATAGGAACACTACAGACAACAGTCTCCATACAAAACGCAGTACGAACCGTTATGTTAGCCCTCCCATCCGTTAGTAGCAAGTCATCAGTAATTTTAAAAACGAGTCGTTTTTATAGGAACTATTTTGTCCTACGATTCGTAGATATTGTAACGGATCGTAATGTAAAACGATTCGTTTTTTGGATATTGGAACCGGGCGTTAGGTAGGGAAAAAAAAAAAAAGCTACTTTGTTGGCCATGTGCATTGCTAGTGCTTAAACACTATTTTTTGACAATTATTATAACCAGTAATAAAAATAATAAAATTAAAAATAGTGTTTATTTTTATAAAAATATATATTTACACTTTTTCTGAAGAAAAAAACCCTTAATGCTATGTAATCATTTATTCAATTAAAAATTAATTCAATTATTATATTATTTACAACTTTATTATTTATTTATTTAAGCTTTATAATCATCCCAAATTATTTTAACCCATATCTATTCAAACAGGTTGATCTTTAAACGCGAGTGCTGTGATGGCTTTCTGATGACCGCAGTACTCCCGTTCAAGCGTGCCACGCTCAATGTTCCATAATCGAGCATAACTATCCGATGAACCTGTAAATAACAAAATAAAATTATCTGGTTTTCTTAAACTTTGAAAAAATTGACTGGGTTGCCAGGAAATTGAAAATGTATTACCAGTGAATAAAAATCGAGAATCAAGCGTAAAGGCTGCGTCCCAGACCCATCGCTGCGTGTCACGCCGTAGCTCTCGCAGCAGCGCCCAGTCGCTCGTGCGCCAGATCTTGGCCGAGCAGTCGCCCGACGTCGTCACCAACATGCTATTATCACATTAGTCAGATATTAAACATTTGCTAAATTACTATACTTATTGCCTTACTTATGCCTTGCTTTACTTATGATAGAAGAGTATGGAAGTAGAAAACATGTTGCGCTGACCCCAGGTGACTGGGAGAAGGGCAGGATAATGATGATTGCCAAAATAAACTCATTTAATAAACACATGCAACATCTAATGTCTTAAAGTTGATTTTAACTGAAATGCTGTAACATCTCCAAACTCACGTTGAATCTGGGCTAAATTTACACCGTAAAGCATATTTCGAATGTGCAGTAATGTGTTTTTTGGGCACAGGGTGCGGTGGTTGTCCGCTTAACGACCACACGTAGCAGTTGCCCTTGTTATTAACAGCCGCCATCATCTTGCCGGCTGGATCAATAGCTATGTCCTGAATCGACGCCTCCGCTTCTGGTATCTAACAAAAATAAAGATAAATAGTATAATATTTATATGTAACAGTAAATAAACATGGTTTCTTTAAATTGAATTATGTGGTTGGACAGGCACTTGGCCAATGATTGATCAATTACTAGAGCTTATCAATAAAACATAAATGCTCAAAACTGATGATTGTTTCGTGGAAAAAAAAGGTAGGATGGTGGTCCATACACATGTGGGTTTATAATACATCCAACCATCAATCAACCTATTAAGGACAGCAGAAATATGTTATAATATACAGAAAATACTACTGGCCATTCTCTAGTAAATACCTCAGTAGCCTTTCTATATATCCATTATGAGCATATTGGTGATATCATGTTGGCATCAGCTTTTTATGCAGGAACACTACTGAATAGGATGTGGAGATAGAGTGTTCCTTTCACTTTTGTAGCTCACCACAACATACTGTGTTATATGTTCTCAGCTGATAGTGGATGTAAAAAAATATATATAGTAAAGTTACCAGTTGTTCATTTTGATCCGTTTTCAGATCCCATATATGTATAATGCCACTCTGGTCTCCAACCATTATCTGGGACTGATCAGGATGAAGCATTACTGCATTCACCGGAGCTTGAACTTGGAATATCTTTTGACACCTTGTACGTGGTGCAGCCCTACATGAGAAACATGCCGCTTTAAAATTGTTATACTAGGCTTTCTAGGTCCAGTCAGTAAATTGTATTTTTAAACTAAATAAAAGTTGAAGTTTAATTTCAGAGATCAGCAGACAACCTCATGGTCTCCTAGTGTAAGTAGTTATTAGCTTCTATGATCTAAATTTTGATTTTATTCCATAACCATTAACATTGGACTTGACAGCTTTAAAGTAGGAATCATATCTTCATACCACCAGTAAATATCAGTTTGTGAAACTTTTATAATAAGCACAAATATAACGAATGATATAAGGTGCTGCATTGTCATCTAGCATCAGAGAAACCTCCAAACATCATTTGGCCAAGGTTAGAAAACACAAATGATGTTACCAAATAACTGGTTGATATAATACATAGCGTCTTTAACCTGGGATCCCATATCCTGGCTGTGCAGTCCTCACCTCCTGTGTACATCCAAGTGCCATTTTTCTGCAAAGTTACAATTTTTTTCAAAAAAAATTAATGACTTGTCTTATTGTAATAGATGTGTTCACAAATTAAATATCCCATAAATATACATAGTTTTTTTTCTCTAAAATATAACAATCTTGGAAAGTTTTTGAAAATGAATAACTGATTTTAACATTAGTTTTTGTTTAAAAACTGCATGTCGACACAATTTGTGTGTTTTTCAAATTGTTGCCCTAGAAATAATTATAATCTCAAAGATTTATAGTAATTCCTATGCCAGTGAGATCTCAAATATTTAAAGGACACTGAAAATCCAGTTTCAACTGAATGAGTTTTCTCAGAAAAGGAATATATTTTTTTATTCCTGGCAAATATTTAGAGACATATATTAAAGACACGTACTTCCTGTAGTTTACTGTCAGTGACACCTAGGTCACAAATAATCTACCTGAAGGTCATGTATATATTGTTTTCAACAAATTTTAATTTAATTTATGCATAATACCTGAAACCCAACTCGAGATACGTTTTTGGAGATGTCCTCAAAAGTTGTGACCGGGTCTGGATTGGCACTACTAAGATCATATAACCGTATATGCTGAAATCCAGCTGCTGCTACCATCGATGTTGGTGAGATCTCCAAGCTGTTCACTTGCTGAAAGGAAAACTCGTCATGCAATAACTAAAAGGTGCTTTAGCTGATTTTCATAATATAATCAGTTTGAAAAATATCACGAAAGTTAATTTAAGTTACCTCACAAAAGATGACTGGCATGTTAATCTGAATTATATTTGTACAAAGTGGTCTGCTTGTATTAAATCTTAGCTCACAATTATCTGACACTGTCGTGACCAGTTTTAATCGTTTAGGTAATTCTCTTTTTTTGGACATTTTTGCAACTTTACAGGAGAGCCATTTAAAGTTTAAAATTCTCATAATAAAAAAACTCCATCAGCTATTTGGATGCAGTAAGCTTAATTGATGTTCAATCAAAAACATTGAATTGGTGATAGTTAATACCAAATAAAATGGACCTTTAATTACAAAGATAAATGTCGCGTATTAATCGAAATATCGCTTAATTCAAATAGCCTTTTAGCCCTCGTTATTATTCAAAGTGAAATTTCCAAATCAATTTTTTATGAAAATTTAAAATAATCATGCAAATTTACGGAGCGATTTGAATGAGTTATCTGGAAATGAATTGAGTCATTTTGGTCATTTATAGAAGATCAATTACCGAATCTGGATGCTGCATTGTTCGTAAACAAACACCACTGTGTGCCTGCCATAGCTTGATAGTATGATCGTAGCCTCCTGTTACTAAAGCCACCTGCGATCCTCCAAGAGAAGCAGTGGTATCACCAGCCATTTTATGAAACTTATTGTTTAAGCAATTGGCATATTTATTTCTTAAAGCACATTTTTTTATTTCCAACTGCCAGGTAATTTTGAAATTTCGGATTGTGGGTTTTTAATTTCGAACTTTCCGAGCAACATAAATCTTGTATAATGTGATATAATCTACGTTATACTTGAACCGAATTATCGGGGCGCTTTTAATATTACTGTAAATTCTAACTAATGCATCTCATAAAGTCAAAACATAACCAAAACAACACAGCACAGGTAATTCTCTCAAATATATTAAGTGTATAATCTATGGGTAATTCAAGTAGTAGTAGTAGACAGTAGTAGTAGACAGTAGTAGTAGTTTTATTTTTACCAAATGGACAGGCAAAAGTATCACACCATACAGCTTAATATTTTTTTAATTTTTTTTATGACATATGATATTATGAAATATATGAAACATGGCATGACATGAAATAAAATGAATTAAAATGAGATGAGATGATATGGGATATTTTTATGCAAAATGATAATGTGGAGTGAAATGAAATGAAGAATTTGAGACATTAATCAACTGGTGATGAAATTAAATGAAATGAGATGATATGGAATGAAATATAATCTCAGTAAAATGATGCTCGTTTACTGAGATTTTTTCAGTGGACTTTTTGGAGGATGCCGAGAAATTACCTACAACGGCTTTGTTTCCCACATTTGTGCACTTTCACAGAAAGTAAGCAGTTAACAAACCACGGTTTAAACCTGAAAAAGCACTAAATAGACAAAATAAAACAAATCACAACAATCACACACACATCAACAACACACAATCAGTTCATAGTTCATTAAGTCTAAAGTTTTGTGAGGTTGTGTTTAAGAGTTGTGTTATGGTTTGTGAGTTGAGTTAGGAGGCAGTCTCCTCCCGGTGATGGTCACGGGGCGACCTAAGGGGGTTGAGGCTGCGCCGCACGCTACCGTCACTCTAGCGCGCTGGCACCAGGAGGACGGGACGGCGCGTCGGCGGCTGCGGACTGCGATGCGGTCCGCATTTTCGTCGTCGCTGTCGTCGCCGAACATACTGTTGAAGAGCAACCCGGTCGGCAGTGTATCGCGTTCCGACCCGGCAGGCTGGTTCTGGCCCAGCGGGGTATCCCGGAACACCAGCGGCACCGCCCGGGCGGCCTGGTAGGGCCGCCGTACCGCGGAGACCGACGTCGTTGGTCGTCGACTATCGCCTCGACGACCCGTCGGTCGGGCGTCCTCGGGGTGGCGCCGCCTGTCTGGTTGTAGTGTTGACCGCGGGAACCCCCCTACTCTGAACGGGTTCTGACCCCGGACGGAGATCGGACGTCGGGNGGTGTATCGCGTTCCGACCCGGCAGGCTGGTTCTGGCCCAGCGGGGTATCCCGGAACACCAGCGGCACCGCCCGGGCGGCCTGGTAGGGCCGCCGTACCGCGGAGACCGACGTCGTTGGTCGTCGACTATCGCCTCGACGACCCGTCGGTCGGGCGTCCTCGGGGTGGCGCCGCGTGTCTGGTTGTAGTGTTGACCGCGGGAACCCCCTACTCTGAACGGGTTCTGACCCCGAACGGAGATCGGACGTCGGGTGTAAGAGTGCAGGGGAGTCGTTTAGTGGATGGGCCCTAAAATCCTTGGGCCCGCGATCTGCTCTCAACACCTGCAGATCGTTGAGTCTCACATACCCCGCGCGCCCGCTAGGCGCGGGGACCTCGTAGGAGGTTCGGCCCCCGGCCCGAAAAAAAAAAAAAAAAAAAAATGGTTTGTGAGTTGAGTTGAGTTTGACTGATTTGAGTGAAATGGCAATACTCAGTTGGAGTGTTGTTCTCTGTTTTGTGTACCAAGTATTGAGTGGTTGAGATTAAAGTTATTATAATTAGAGGTCGAGAAGGAGTTGAAGGTTATTAAAGTTATAGAGGTTCAGAAGATTAAGGTTATTAAAGTTGAAGAGGTCGAGAAGGAATGACTAGTCGAGAAGGAGATTAAGGTTATTAAAGTTAATGAGATTGAGAAGGAGATTAAGGTTATTATAGTTAAAGAGATTGAGAAGGAGTAAAAGGTTTTTAAATAAACTTGAGAGTTTATGTAGGGAGTTGAGAAGGAGTTAAAGACTATTATAGTTAATGTTTTTTATAGTGAGTCAAGGGGGAGGTTAAGGTTGAATGGTTGTATGGTTGAATGTTTAGTCGAGTAGGAGTTGGACAAGTGAGAAAGGATTGAAGGTAGCTACATTAAAGTTGCTATTAAGTTTGAAAGGTTGAATTAATAGTTGTTGGTTGAATTGTGAGGGATTAAGTGGAAATAATTGAATGGAAGTGGTTGTGAGATTTTAATGTATGTATGGAAGGAAGGTAGATATGTATGAAAGGTAATTAATTTACGAAGGTCAGGTTAGTGTTTTTTTTTTTGTATATTGTATTAAATTATATACAGGGCGTTAAATGTAAATGTGCAAGTGTTGAGGGGATGTGTTGGAGTTTGAATATGAAAGTAATGGCAGGCAACACTTGACACATGTAAGGTTACAGATTTCGAATATTGGAATTATTTAAATGTTTAAAACAGATGATTTTCTTCTCTTCAGTGAAGACAATGACTTCTCATCTAGACACGGTCAGAGCAATATCTTAGAGTTTTATATAAATAAAATATTATAATGGTGCAATAGTGTACAAATTATTTGCAATATAATTATATTACCATGAAGCAGTGTTTTCAAATAGCCCCTCACCTACAGAACCCAGTCCCCTAAAATTTAACCGTCCAACATTCACTCCTCGTGTTCCCGCCAAAAAGTCTCTATCAGTTCAGTTTCTCCTACCTAGAGATGAGTCGGATTTATTAGAACAGACCCGAGTATTAGGTATTTTACGAGTTTAGGCTTCACCTAATCCCATTTTGTCAATGTGTATAGTCCCAGGTGGATTCCAACCAATCTTCGTATTCTTAAAACATAAAATCGAATGTTCATCATACGCTCCCACCTGTTCCTGGGCTATCTCACACACTTACCCGTTGCAACGTATCTCACAATCTTGCCTAGATGTGTGGACGAGCTCACAGCCCACCTGATGTTAAATGGTTACTGGAACCCATAGACATCTACAACGTAAATGCGCCACACACCTTGAGATATAAGTTCTAAGGTCTCAGTATAGTTACAACGGCTGCCCCACCCTTCAAACCGAAACGCATTATTGGTTCATGGCAGAAATAGGCGGGGCGGTGGTACCTACCCGTGCGGACTCACAAGAGGTCCTACCACCAGTAATTACGCAAATTATAATTTTGCGGGTTTGCTTGTTATTACACGGTGTTATTCCTTCACACCTTCGGATTAGGAAGATTACGTGGATTAGGTATTTCTTAAGATTAGAAACAGGTGGACCTAGTATCTGATTTACCTAGTACGACCCATCTCTACTCTTACCTACTCTCTCTCTCTATCAATACTACGGTGCTGCCGTACTGGTGCTGTACTAGGTGTACTGCTGGTGTACTAGGATTGGATTTGGGTCAGCTGATAACGATAGCATTAAATTTTTAAAAAGATCGGTAGTTTTTAAAAAAAAATATAGTACACTTTATTATTTTGAATTAAAAACACCTAAACATTAAATGAACAGGAGTTTACATAAAATTTAGTCCTCTTCCAATTTTATCAGTTCTTCAATATTAGTTTTATCCTCAGAAATTATTAAAATTGAATCTTAATAACACATCTTCAGTAGGAATAAAATCAGTACAATTCCCACTTTTACTACTGTCCTTCCAATTTTATCAGTTCTTCAATATTAGTTTCATCCTCAGAAATCTTAAAATTGAATCTTAATAACATCTTCAGTAGGAATAAAATCAGTACAATTCCCACTTTTACTACTGTCTTCTATAGCGTCAAAAATAACAAGATGGCGTCTATAGATTGTGTTGCTAGTTTTTTCCTTATCCTGGTCTTAGTAAGGTTCACTTTACTGAATATTCTCTCGTAGTCGTGCTAATGCAGCATGGAAAAGTACTAAGCAATCTAGGGCAAATTTTACTATTTCGTTAAATGGCCTGTTGTGTGTGGTTGGTCTGTGTGGCCTGTGTGTGATTACATCTCAATGAACTTTTTTATTAATATTGAGCTAGCACCGAATGGTGTTTAAATACTACTTATATTAGTCATACACACAAGGTATTGGAATTATAGTATTTTTTCGTACTATCGATATGGATAGTTATATAGTACGAAGCATTAAATTGTAGTACAAATAGTATAACTATAGTACGAAATCCAACCCTGGGTATTGCTAACCTAAAATCATAAATAATACACACAATAGCGGCTACACACGTAACGATAGTATATCGTAGCGATTTATCAGTGTGAACCGATTTACGCAGCATTATCGATCGTGTGGAAGGCGATTGACGATCGCTCATTTCGGCAGTACTTCACGGAGTATGCCTCCTCATTCATCCTTAAATAATTAAGCGAATTTTCCAGAGCGAATTTCAAGTAATTTTATAAGTTGGTATAAGAAAATAGCTTCCTTTTCATGAGCCAGTCTACAACACACGCTCCGTGCCTTTTTTTAAATTAAACACATAATCAGGCCTAATTTCGCAAGCGCGTCATCATTTTCCATCCTGGATAACATGTTTCTGGCGTAAGCTTCTGCAGAGAACTGGCGATTGACGCATATTTCGGAGGCGTGTAGAGACACTAGGAACGGTCTGAAATCGCTAAGATATATCGTTATGTGTGCAGCCTGCTTAACGAATGAAAATTATCACAGTTTAAGGTATAGTTTAATTATGTGTGAATCACCAACAATGAACTTAAAGTAATAGAGGTAAACAATTAAACACAATTATATACTTGTCTATATCGACTGAAGGACTGGTTTAAAGACCCACAAGAAATTCAAGAAGTAACCAATAGGGATGTGCCCAATACCGTCTTTACCATAAGGGCACACGGGGCCCGTGCCCAGGGCCCCCATTCTCAGGGGGCCCCGAAGGACCGACAATTTCTTTCACACATTTATTCCAAAACATTTTTGTCGGGCGTATTACACTTTTTTCACAAATCAGTAATCTTATCAGAAAGTATTTACAAGGCATATACAACGCCATTATATCGATGACTGCGCCTATTTCAACTGTACTAATTAATAATATTTCCGAACGCAACCTACCTAATTTACTAAGTACACCATCTAGCGATCATGATAACGGTTTCCGTTATCGTAATCGTAACCAATAAACCAGCAGCATTCTAATATAATTAATAACACATTATATCATACTGTAACTCCGCCGTTGTCGGTCCCAAGCCCGAATGAGAAAGGAGGAGGGTTGGTGTGGACGAAATCTACCCATGCCTCAAAACAGTCAACGCCGAATATCGGGCGGCGGTAACTAACCCGACATCCCTGAGCGGCCCTAGCGTCCCTGGGCGGTAATCAGTAACCGTGAGGACCTAAATACCCTCTAAAAGTCTGACGCGGAAGGACGTGGGAACCCACCGCGATTACCTTCCCTAGAAAACCCCCTTATGGAATCAGTAACAACGAGAGTGAATTTGTTGGGCGACCCGACTAACCATCGGCGCCACCCAGTATCCGGGCTGGATGGTGTGAAATTGGCAACCGAAGCTCCCCCTGGGGTAAATCGACAGGCCTCAGAAGGAGGAGATACTACTGTCGGTACTGCAGCTTCTAAAAGCGAGAAGACCTCTATACGATCGAGTCATCGTATTGGCGCTTGGAACGTCTGAGGTCTGCTGGAGGCGGGTAAGCTGACAATCGTGGAAAAGGAAATGGAATCTCATGACATCTCTATACTAGGCATCAGTGANCGTATTCCGTGGACAGCATTTCGGACCAACGTATCAATCTTGCAAGAACTCAAAATCTCCTCGCGGCTGTCATCCGAGTGTCTTCGCAGAGTCCTTGAATACTTTGGTCACATCGCACGAAAGGATGGTAGCAATCTCGAGAGGCTCATCGTGACTGGTAAAGTAGATGGGAAAAGACCTCGGGGGCGCAGCCCAATACGTTGGTCCGAACAGATCCGCACCGCTCTTGATTCCACGTTTCACAACGCCCTCCACACCGCCAGAGACAAGAATGGATGGAGAAAAATCGTGCGTGCGAAGGTGATACAAAAGGGTGGTCACGACCCTCAGCAATGAGGAATACGATGCAAGGAGGAGGATATCATACTGTATTTGATTACCTGTAATAAATAGTCATAATCAGTAAAAAAATGTTATTATAAATTCGCTTTTTTTACTTTCCAAAAGGGCCTCAAATTCTTGTGTGCCCAAGGGCCCCGATAAGTAGGAGGATGGAAAAAATGTATTTGGTCTAACTTAACGCCAATGCACATTATTTCATTTATTTATTTTTTAATTTTTTTAATTAAACTGTATACCAATTAATTGCTCCTTCAGGATTTATATTTGGTTTTTTTTTCACGATTAAAACCGCGTAGAAAGTTTAGGCATTATAGTTGACGCATGCGCAGTACACATATTTTGCATACATTTATTCAACTAATAAAAATAGTAAATTAAACAAAAAACGAGTAATTTCGAAAGAGAACAAACGTGTTTTATATAAGAACAATCGAAAATGAATATTTACGAGTCATTAAGGATGAAANTATAAGAACAATCGAAAATGAATATTTACGAGTCATTAAGGATGAAAAAATATTAAAAATTGCATTAGAGGGGCTAACTTGTAGGTATATTTTTAAATATTTTTTTAAAATAAATAACTGCAGAACAAACAATTATTAACAGTGAACAATCATGAACAAATGATGAACAAACGAATTAATAGAAAATAAGTATAAAACAGGAAAAAAAAGTTTTTTTGAGGGGCTAACTTCATTCACCTGTGAGATTGAAATCACTACAGAGTTTGCCATGTTTCTAATCTATACGTAGCTTGAATAAGTTTCCACCAATACATTTTAAAGAAAAATGATTACTTTTTTTTTTTATTGCTTATATGTGTGGACGAGCTCACAGCCCACCTGATGTTAAGTGGTTACTGGAACCCATAGACATCTATAACGTAAATGCGCCACACACCTTGAGATATACTTCTAAGGTCTCAGTATAGTCACAACGGCTGCCCCACCCTTCAAACTGAAACGCATTACTGCTTCACGGCAGAAATAGGCGGGGCGGTGGTACCTACCCGTGCGGACTCACAAGAGGTCCTACCAGCAGTAATTACGCAAATTATAATTTTGCGGGTTTGATTTTTATTGCACGATGTTATTCCTTCACCGTGGAAGTCAATCGTGAACATTTGTTGAGTACGTATTTCATTAGAAAAATTGGTACAGTCAACGTTTGGATGTGGCCGAGTTAGCATTCCTAACATAAATGCAAAAATAAAGAAAACCGGCGATTCTTTTTAGGCTTTCATCTGCGATACGTGATGGTGACGTGATGATTCTGCATTTTGACGCGCATGTCAATTAAAACTGTAGACTTGCTTTGAAAATATGCGTTAATTTTAGTAAGCTTTGGTAACATTCACAAAACAAAATAAGCAGTTTGCACTAGGATCCTTTCAAGCAATATATAATTAGGGTTTCATGGTCTTTAAGCCACTTGGCATTAAAGTACCTATAGTGCAAGTGTCTCATTTTTCTAAACTCCATTCGACTATAGATATTAAAAAGAGTCTCTAGTTTTGGTCTTAAAATTTTAATGATATTATAGGAAAACTATATAGTTTTGGTCGTAAAATTTTAAGCAATTTTTATCGGTCTTAGCCAACTGCCATCTTTCAGAATTAGAACATACTAAAAATACCATTCTAAGCTGAATAAATCAACACAGTCTTCCGTTCATGTAAGGGTAATATTAATGGGGTTGGCAACTGTCAAAGTGGCGCTGGTGTGAATTGTTCCCATAACATTCAATATTTGTATTGGAATTTTTGATTAAAAATTATTTTAAGCACAATGACGCGTTTTTTGTGCCAATATGCTCAGAAATTGGAGTACATCAATTCCCGAAGGACAAGATAATTGGAAGACTGTGGTTAAAGGCCATTTAACGCGAAAAAAGTACTCCCACAAAAAGTTCGAGGTTATGTCGTAAACACTTTGTGGAATCTGACTATGAAAACATTAGTAAATACACAGGTATGCTTCTTTCTGTCAAATATTTATAATGCATGACTAGGTTTAGCACACATCTTTTTTGTCTTATTAAAAAAATCCAATAATAATATAGTTAGGCACACTATTAGTTGCTAACATATTTTGCAAGTAGATTTATGCTGTAAGGAACCTTTTAACAAACACAAAATCAGACTGAAGGAAACACATTCCTCTTGAGATGTTGTTCATTATCAGCTGTTACTAGTGAAAGTTCTATCTAAATCGCTGCATCCATTGTAATAACAAATATTTTGAAACTATTGTCAGGTTTCCTTGTGATAGTATATTTAAATGTTTTTCTTTGTGTTGTAGGTGTCAAACATTAACATAAATATCTGAAGAAAGGTGCTGTACCATCTATATTTTCATGGAATATGAAACCAGTTTCTGAAGAAAAAAAAAGTAGAGAACAAAGGTTACAAACTCGTAACCTTAAAAAACAGCTTTTTAGCCTGCCCAACACTTCCCAATACTGTGAAGATATAGTACCCCTTGAAGAACACAGCAATGTGCATTTTGATTCAAATGTCTCTCAAGAAATTCTAATAGAAAATAATAACTCTAGTATAGATGAAACATTTACAAGGCATCATATTACTATTGGAACTCAAACATCCAATATATTAAGATTGTTCTCTACAGAGCTATTACTTGCAGACGATGAGATAGTGCAATACTACACCGGGTTGGAAACAGCATCTAAGTTTTCATTTGTTTTAATCACACTTTTGCCAATGTCAAATTATATAAGGTATCGCTGGAGTAGAGTGGTCGGCATATCAATAAAAGATCAATTTTTAATGTTACTAATTAAGCTTAGAAGAAACACAACACTGAAGTGTCTAATTTTGTTGTAACATGGATAAATTTTGTCAGTGTTATCTAGAGCCTAATTGACATTTGGCCTAGCCAGCTTAGTAAATTATTATATGCCTAACTGTTTTAGAACACATTATCCCTCCACAAGGGTGATTATAGATGGGACTGAAATAGGCATACAGAAGCCTAGTCAACCTGATGCTCAAAAAGCGTCATTTAGTTCTTATAAACAAAAATACCTTGAAATTTTTGGTAGGTGCTTCACCAGAGGGATTATTATCATGTTTCAAACGGCTACGCTGGTTCTGCAAGTGATCGACAGACAGTAGAACGAAGTAAGCTGCTGCAGATTTGTGATTCTGGAGATAGTATTATGGCAGACAGAGGTTTTAATGTACAGGATCTGTTTGCCTCTAAAGGAATTAGTATAAATATCCCATCTTTTTTAAAAGGTAAATCACTAATCCCAGGTGTTTAGTTAAAGATAGATAAAAAATTAGCTAGTCAGAGGGTTCACATAGAACGATTAATTTCATATGTGTAATGGTATGTAATTTTAGAGAAGGAATTGTCAATAAAAATAATTAAAAATATTCCTGTTTTTTTATTTCGACAAGTGTGTATAGTTATAATACAGATATTTCTCATACAATGCTTCTTTGAAAATATTTCCATAAAAGATATCTAATTTATTTAACATATTATTTATAAAATTATTGTCTTTTTCAACATAAATCACTTTGCTGTCCTTGTAGATGTAAATGACCACGTTGCAGTATGTTTTGCCTGAGCAGTATAATTGCCCTTGGATGTGATAATAATATGGGCAGGTTTTTTTTAGAGACAATATCCCGTTACATTGTTCTAAGTAAGGCACCGTTGTTATATTTATTTCATGTTTTCTGCTAGCGTATGGACATTTCACTTCAATTATAGTTTCTTCGCCCAACACACCATCAGGAGATGCAGCAAGATATGGGCGCTCTTGGCTAATGAAAATGCCACATGGCTTCACTAGCAAATCATATATATTAGCACATTTTGCTAGAGCAATTTTTTCATTTTGTTTCAAAATTAAAATTTTGGTCATATAGCTCTAATCTGAAAAAAGTAAAATAATACATTAGTTGGTAGGTAATGTGTGTAATATGAGCAATTCTTTTTGCACATGCTACAAGGAATAAAGTTCCTAAGGTACACAATTTAATATTATTATTATAATAGCTACCGGAAACAGTTTGAGAGAAGTTTTCTAAGTTAAAATAAAACATCAACATTGTACCTTTCGACAAAATCCCCTTTTTTCCTCGTAAAGATGCACCACGTTTTCTCAACTCCTCCTTTAATTCTTTAACTATCCAGTTGGAATACATGTTGTAAAACTGTTTAGCACTACTTAGAAAGTAATAAGAACCGTATCAAAGTCACAAAATGCCGAAATATCACGAACGCAAAACACACAAAATGGCGGCTCTCTGTGACAAGGGAACAAGCTACGCTGGCGACATCNCCTCCTTTAATTCTTTAACTATCCAGTTGGAATACATGTTGTAAAACTGTTTAGCACTACTTAGAAAGTAATAAGAACCGTATCAAAGTCACAAAATGCCGAAATATCACGAACGCAAAACACACAAAATGGCGGCTCTCTGTGACAAGGGAACAAGCTACGCTGGCGACATCTGAGAAAAGCTTTAACCGGCCAACCCCATTGGTCAAATTTTTCGGGTTCGAGACTGTTTTTTGATTGTACTAAGTATTAACAATTGGATGTAATCTGTATCCCAGTATTGAGACGTAGTAACTAGACTTTCTGGCGGGAACGCGAGGAGTAAAGTTGTGTGATTTGTTTTATTTTGTCTATTTAGTGTTTCTTCAGGTTTAAATGTGTAATAACGGTGGTTTATTAACTGTTTAATATCTGTGAAAATGCACAAATGTGGGAAAATGAAACAAAGCCGCTGGACGTAACTTCTCGGAATCCTCCAAAAAGTCCACTGAAAAAATCTTAGTAAATGACCACCATTTTACTAATATTGTATTTCATGCCATTTCATTTCATTTAATTTCAACCCAGTTGCTTAATGTCTCAAATTAATCATCTTCATATCATTTCAGGACTTAAAGGTCTCAGTTACCAGGTCATAAAATCCCTTAAAAACGTAGTAACTATTATACTGATCTGTAGTAGGTAGTGAGCATATATTAAGTGTTTAATCTATGGTAGTGATTTCGAAACCATTACATGCTTCCATCTTGAGGTTTTTTCTTGTTAATCTTTCGTATTTTAATAAGAAACAGAACATCTTGGTACCTAGATTATAAAACTAAAACATATGTTTTAGTTTCATATTAATCCAACCTTAAAAATTGATGATCAAGGAATACCTATTAGGTTTCTGATATAGGTACAAGCCCAAACCAAAAATATTGAGACGAGTACTGCATCAGATCAAATATTAGGTATCAAATTGAAATACAGAACTAGGTACCTATCTAATGGATGCAGTCTTACATGGTCAGTTTGACTAGTCATAATATTAATTCTCAATAGTATGAGTATTCTAAGATGGGATCAATCACGAACTAGATTTAAGTAATTAATGTAGGTACCCACCTACATTTTATACTCTAAAGACTTCTAGAAAAGTCTATGATCAGTTCCATCCCTAAAGTACAATAACAGTTCTTTAAACTTGGTCGAAAATATAACTGCTACGAAAATTAGTCCAGTGTTTGTCTATATATGACCAATGACCTATTACTGAAACTGCAAATCCAATCAGCCAGGTTGCTCAGTTACTAACCTATGTATGAACTGAAATCAAAACACTAATTATAAGAAATTACTTTATTGAACATGTAAAATCCGTATTGACATGAGGAATGCTAATTCTCATTTACAATATAACACAAATGTAAAATTTGAGAGACAAATCACATCGACAACCTACCTATAACTAACTAAAATACAACATACACATGAATTTCTTAAGATTATTTTTATGGTAATGCCACAAATCTANAACTGAAATTAAAACACTAATTATAAGAAATTACTTTATTGAACATGTAAAATCCGTATTGACATGAGGAATGCTAATTCTCATTTACAATATAACACAAATGTAAAATTTGAGAGACAAATCACATCGACAACCTACCTATAACTAACTAAAATACAACATACACATGAATTTCTTAAGATTATTTTTATGGTAATGCCACAAATCTATGCTAGAATTCACCTGAAAGGCGAGTCTCAAGATTAAAATGACACTTATGTGGTATAGTTTTATAATATGCATAAGTCCTAAATAAAGCCACGAGGTAACCTCGACAAATGCTTAAGCTTATTGTTTGGTACCATTATTAGCAATGAATTTACAATGAAGAGGTAGGTTTGAACAAGCGGGTGCAATATCCTTCCAAGGAGTAGACATTATAATAAGTCTCTAATTTTACATATTGATAGTTACACCAAAACTTATGTCCAATAGTTCAGCATTAAAATAAAACTGAATCGATATAAAATAATTCATAAAAAGCACAGCTTTAATTAGATATTGGTGCAGACATAGAAGTTTTGATAAAACCAGTCAAAAGTATATCTCAAAATAAGCATCCACAAAGTCACAGCGAACTTAACGAGGGAGGGCTAACTGTACAATTCCCTGGTGAAATACATGCTAACACTTACACATTATTTTTTTGAGGCTTAGAAACCTAGACCCTAGTGTGCGGCAAAACTTTCCAAACTCTGCATCTTATTTTATATCTATCATAACTAACACTACAATATTAAGAAAATTAAAGGAATATTGAATCAAGAAATGAATTATTTAATTGCATTTTATAAACAAAATACCAGTTGCAGTTAAAGATGATTCCAACTCTCATTAAATGTTAATCAAAATCAATGTCAAATGCATTACATACAGACTTTGGAAAGTCAGTCCCGTTTTACTTTGTAATAAATTAAGTCCAAGTAAATTATTCAATATGAACAGTAATGTCTTAAGGTTTGGGAGATCATTCACTTTCTTCTTCCTCCTCCTCACCCTCCTCTTCCTCAGACTCTTCCTTCTTTTTCTTGGATTTCTGCAATAAAATAATTGTTGTTTAAAGATCCAACAAATGCTTTTAATATTGAAGAATTTGTTTACTCACAGCAGCAGCAGTTTTCTTGCCCTTTTTCCCTCGTTTTTGAGCCTTCTTTTCGCCCCCTTCGCCACCACCGCCATTGGCATTGTAAGATTCTAGGTCTTTTGCATATTGCTCCTTGGCCTTGGCAGCTTTCTGTTCCCATTCCTAAAGTAATTTCAATTATGAATCTCTATTGTAACGCGCTAGATAATAAATCACATTTTATTTCAATCATTGTACTTACAGTTTTGTCTTTCATTGATTTCCAAATTTCACCGCCTTTTTTGGCTATTTCGGTTACTCTTAAGCCAGGATTTTCAGATTTTATCTGTTCCCTCGCGCTGTTTAACCACAGCATGTATGCGGACATAGGACGCTTCGGCTTGTCCGTCATTTTGACTTTTTTCCTGGAAGAAATACCATGCTCTCTAAAAAATACTTCGCTTCCCACAAGGCAGCAGGTTCAAAGAGTCACGTTTTACGAACTTCAAGCTCTAGACGGTCTACGCACTGCTTATACGGTGTAACAGGGCGTCATTTTGGCGGGAAACGTATTTAGGCCATTTAGGACCAAGATTGTAACAGTAGCCATAAATAATATTTAATCAATATGAAAACCTACGAATTAGACTAACATATTCGTATCCATAACAGCATAAAACATCTAAAATAGTTATCGCCCCATTAACGAGTTCACTGTCCTAGGCTTGGGTCGAACGAGCCATTTTGTTTTCACGAATTATGTAGAAAATACGCAATATCTTTAAAGGACAGGATTACCAAATAATCCTTTGATTATTAAACTAAAACTTGTAGAAGAACTGTTAGGGTCACTCAATGGAAAAGATCCGAGAAATTAATTATTGAAATAAGGCGTCACTCTCCTTACCCACGCGTACCAAGGAAAGTACGGCGATGCATATAGCCATGTTTGAATGCGAATTCCAACGTGGAATGAAAATAAATCCTATGAATCAAGGCTTGAGAATCACTAATAAACTTGACAAATTGTTCAACTTTGAATAGAAAATTGATTGGACTTACCTGATGGCAAAAATTTTGAAATAATTTTTGAACTGGTACACAACCAAACTGTAGACGTAGAGAATGTGAAGAAATGTATGGGGCTCGAACAAAATGTTCCCAGTCGAAGCTAGCTTGGGGCCGTCTCGCGTCGCTAAGGTGGCGCCATCTACACGAATTCTGATTGGCTAAAATCATCAGGTGTACCAATAGTCCAAATGTCACAATGGTTCTTGTACTACGTATATCCGTGAAATCTCTTTTTAAAAAGGCAATACAATTTGAACTCTAATGGCATAGGATTAGGTTTATTTTAGTGGAAGTTGACGAGCTCCATACATTTGCTTCTAAAAATGATTTTATAGTATTTGTTAAGAGAAATAGTGGATTTGTAATAAATTACACATTTGTTTGGTGAGAATAATATAAAGATTATTTTTTCTGAAGCATTTTTGATCCAATCGCATAAAAGTATATCAAAGAGGACTAAGATCTCTCGACATGAGATTCCTACCAAAATTAACTCGCGCCTTATTTTAAATGCCGCCAACGTTAAATTCGAATTGTACAAAAGCGCGCCAAGCGTGAGAATGAAAGGGACGCCAATAAAACATAACATTGGAATGGCAGACGTATTCGTTTGTTTACGATTTGGTGCCTCATGAGAACTCCAGAAATAGTTTTTATCGGCAAGGATATAAGGCTGAAGTGTTCATGTGTTGTAGGAATTACTAAAATGTGCTTTTGTCAATTTTTCTTTTTATCTGTTAACTGATAACGACATGTCAAACTTTATAATATGAAGTTACTGTAAATTAATATTACTTATTACAATAAATATGTATCTATTCTCATAAGAGAGGTTCTGCAGGTTTTTCAAATTGTAATTGTTTAAATGTTCAATTAAGCCAGTTTGTAAAGTTGAGTTTTCTAGTAAAACCTTACCTGAAGGAGCTGTATATAACGGCATATATGTATTTGAAGATAGAATGAAATTTAAGTAGTCTACTGAACATTACAGCGCAGTGCAATAGCCTTCTATAAACTTTTAAAACGAATCTTTTTCTTTTAGGAAACCTTACATGAATGTTAAATAGTAAATTTTGACAAAGATAGTCTCAGGACACTATCTATCATGTACTGTACACCAACTGAAAAAAGGTTACAAACGCATGTAAAAAGGGAATACATAGCAATTCGATTTTAGCGTAAACTAACTTTAACAATACTTTTGTTGTTCGTTGCTTTCTTTGAAGGTAATGCAGTCGCTATACAAGACAAATGAAGACTTGATGGAAGTTAAGTGCGTGGTACCACAGTACGCCAAGTGAGCCCTAAGCTCTTCTAGACAATTGAAAGCCAATCTAGACGATTAATATTAAAAATGCGATGATCCTAAGTTCTTTTTAAAATTTCTGAATAACGAGATTTGCGTTAACTGGGACTATTTGACTGAAGAGACCAGCTTGAACTAGACTTCGCTTTTGAGAGCATTTCCACGGTAAATGTAATAGTAATGATAAAAGTATTTTTAATATCGCCTTCAGGGATTGGGGACCTTGCAAGCGCTCTCATTTCTCTTTCTCTCTCTCATTATTTTTAGTACTATGAGAGAGTGCCTCCGTCGTCAGGTGCAAGTGTAATTAGTGTTAAGACATGGACAGCTAAAAAGCTGGAGGAGTCGAATTAAACAAGATTAGAATATTTTTATGATTCTAATTTTTATGGTGATAGGTAGATGAATTCATGAGAGATGAGTTCTAAGTCTCAGTCTTTCAGTCCAACGTACGAGAAAATTCAGTAATTACATTTATTTTTACGATGTTATTCCTTCATAGTAGAAGTCAATCGTGAACATCTGTTAAATACGTATTACTTGAGAAAAATTGGCATTTGCCTGCATGATTCGAACACTGGTACAGTCGCATCGCTAGAAATGAACGCACCGGAAGTCTTACCTTGCAGGCCACGACCACTTCTAAAATCGACTTGTCGACTACCAGGCTTTAGGTCGAAACATTGAATAACAATCTTTCCATGACGAACGAGCTTCACAGCGTCATCAAAACGGCATCGATTTTTGCTAAATCGAACTAAAGGACGAGAATTCCATGGATCTTGTTCAAAACTTGGCTTCAACAGTATTTCTCGTTGAGCCGATACAACACGAATAAAAATTATGACCAAATACGATTTCGAATCTACCGTCCAGGTTCTTAAGACTGAGCTCATTGCAGCTTAAAAAATAAATACTACTACTATTGCGCTGGCGCTATGACCCCGAAGTGGGTCTTGGCCTCCGACAATAAACTTTGCCATTCATCCCGCCAAAAAAAAAACCGACAAGAAAACAAAAACGATTAGATCCCATAAAAAATAAACACCTAAATAAAAAGTTAAAGCTTGGTCGGTTGTAATTTGGTTTGTAAAAAAAATAATCTAATCAAGTGGCAGTAAATGGCTCATCATTACTACATGAATGCACTTTTTTTTCCTACCAAGCTGATAGTCTAGAGATACCATATCAGCGTCACCGGGCTAGTGCTCGTGAGCTCACCAGTAAGTGAGTTAGGTGAGCTCACGAGCCTCAAACCTGACGTTGTTGCTAACACGAACCCTAGCAAGAGCCGTGCTTCGCAGAATCTCCAACCGGATCGGAAACGCGACCCCACTCTCGGAAGGTTGCAGGGATACTCCTTGGAATTGCGGCGCCATGACAAAGGGGTCCTTCTTTGTTTTGGGTTACGTCGACTGTTTAGCTTACGGCCCGCAGGATCGGCAATGTAGTTACTTGAATGCACGAGGAGGGTCTTTTAGATGGCAACTTTGTTCAGATAACTCCGATCCTATAGACAGCTTAAAATTCCGATCCCTCGGAAAGTTGTTACTGATTGTAAAAATATTAAATTTATAGATGTAACACACTTTTTCAGTAATAAGCTTTTTATTAATTTCATAAGTTTCAGTCTCGGGTCCAAAATCTTTCGAGAGGCGCCCTCGCACCAGAAGAGGCAGTGTGGGTCACCCACGAAGTGGATCGAAGTCCTGCTAGAGGAAGTCGCAGGAATCCGCTGGATGTAGGCTGCATAGGACGGTCGTTGTTGTGAATAGTGGCGGCCTATGTTCAGCCTATGTACACCCAAGAATCACGTTCTATACAATATAAGTTACTTAGTACAAAAAAACGATGAATCTATACTAATATTATAAAGAGGAAAGATTTGTTTGTTTGTTTGTTTCGAATAGGCTCCGAAACTACTGGACCGATTTGAAAAATTCTTTTTCCATTAGAAGCCGACATTGTCCCTGATGAACATAGGCTACTTTTTTTAATAATTTTTTTTTTGGTTTCATGTGTGTTTTAATGTTTCCGAAGCGAAGCGAGGGCGGGTCGCTAGTACTTAATAAATAACGTAGGTATAATTGCATCAGAAATTAGGTAGGTACTATTAAAGAAAAAATTAAAAACAAATGTATTATTAAAATTTATTGAAGTTGTTTTTGTATGCTGTGGGGCATTTCAATAAACTAACAACAAATTATTTATAGTGCAAAGGTTTTTACATCATATCATATCACATTCGTTGAGTACGTTAAAAAAATGGTACAATTTAATAAAAAGGCATATCGTTATGGAGAAATATGTTCGGAGCGTTCATTAGTATATACATTAGAATTTCAAGGTCTTCATTTTTAAATTTTAGTGTCGATTCATAGTAACATGTTCATCGCAGGTGTAAGTCGATATTAAAAAATTTGTTCAACGTTTTTATACAAATTTTGATCAACGTGTTCTTTGCGCACCCGACCTCTTAAATATCGTCGTTGTCAAACCAAAATCTGTTATGTGCATTTTTTGAGATTTTTACTTTTTGACTTTTTCGTATAGTTCACAGCCCTATATCTACCATATAAAAAACAGTTTTGTGTCTATTCATATTTATCTATAGCTTTCATTTGATATAGTTCTTAAAAATTCACCTTCATATAAAAATTTTTACGAAAACGTTTTTACTCGTTAATTCAAAATAGAGTTTTTGTACATAGCAGCTTTTGGTTTGATAGCGACGATATGCCTTTTTAAATTTGTTTAAACACATTTTTATCCATTTTATTTTAAGGGGTTTATCTGGAATGAAAGTGTGTACATCTCCACACAACAGAACAGCGTGAGTCGCATCATTTCTTCCCTGGGTGAAATTATTGATTAAGTGACTATTCGACAATCTTAGAGGGGGTTCATTATGAATAACACAATTACAATGTAAATCTTTTAATCACATCGAAATCATACACTTAGCAATTGATTCTTAAACCGAAACGGAAAAAAAATACATTACATGTTAAACAGGTTGCAATATTGTTACGACAAAGTTGATTATGATGAATACTCATCATTTTATGAATTTTACTTCGTCAGTTCTGATGTACAAAATTCGAGTTTTTAAAGCGTGCTCGAGTTAAGTGGTTACTGGAGTCCACGACAAATCAAAACTCGAACACCGTCACCCACCTTGAGACATGAGGTCTGTCGCTCAAAGTTGTGCAGTATAGCGTTTGTCCCGTCCTTTAGCGGAACGCGAGAGCCACAAGACTTCCTACAATCAGTAATCACGTTTTTTTTTAAATCTGGCTTTCTATTAAGTCGCTATCTGCGGATTCCGAACACCAGTACAGTCGGTCGGCTCAACACAAGTACACCGGACGCCTTCTCCGTTAGGCCACGATGACTATTACAAATTCAATCGATAAAAGTACTCCCATTACAAAAGGGTCCAAACTTGTGTGATAGTTCTTGAATGATAATTAATTTATTTACAAAATTATTGATGAATTCGGCAGAAATTCCAGCCTGCTTACGTTACACTGATAATAAAACAATGTAATTTCAACACATTCAAATAATTATCATACCATCGATTTACCTTGCAATACCAAAGTACAAAATATGCTTATTACAATCTAAAACTACTATCTAAATTTTAATTACTATCACTGCCGCTGTCGTTTCCAGACGCCGATGATGCCTCGGCTTCGGAAGACGAACTCTTAGATTTTTCTTTATCTTTCTTTGTGTCTTTAGTCTGTAATCACAAAATAAAATGCGTTTGAGATTGAACGAACAAATTTTACATATATTGCAACTTTTATATATATGTTTGGTTCATTCTTAGTAGACTACAACCCTAGATTAACGGGTAAATAATGTGTTATGGCATTAAATTTGTCGAATATTGCGAATTTTATTATAGTTGAAATGCTCGGAATGAGCACTATATAATGGAGTGGGCTTAGCTAGCTGGGATACATCAAAACGGCAACACTGATGTTTCATCTAGCATTATTCTGACTGGTGGTCCCGCAGTAGTCGAAATTCGACTATAATTAATTGAAATTATAAGTTTGAACATTATTATGGTTCTATTGTCAGACTGTTTATTATACTTCTATAATCACAGATTTCGCCAAGACTACACTATAAACAAATAATATTAAACATAAACAATATTAACCTATTCTAAATTTGACTACAGATTTTAAGCAATAACAAAAGTTTGACAATAAACAAAGAGTATATGTGTGTGTGTGTCAAATACATGGTAGTGTGTGTAATGTTTTCTTTATTGATTTAATGTATTTCTATGCATAATTTTTAAAAAATATTAGCATTCTGCACTTTTTCTTTATATTATCTATAAGTGTGGGAAATTTCATAGTCCTCCGTCTGCGCAATTTTTGTAAAAAGGGTTTCAAAGTTTTTGCTTCACGTATAGATTTCAAATTTGAAGCTACTACTACAAGTCTAAGGAATTGTACTTACGTCCTTCTTCTCCTTCTTCTTATTGCTGTCGGAGTCGGAGGAGCTATCGTCGTCTTCTATAAACTCTTTGCTGGTGAACTTCCCGGTGGGAACGGCGGCAGGAGTCTTCTTTGCTGGAGGAGCTTTGGTCTTCTTCTCTGCTGTCTTTCGTTCTTTTTCAGCCTGTTTCTTTTTCTGTTTGAACTCGTCGGCCGCGCCGCTGTCTTTATACTTCTTCATTGCGGCATTGTATTCTTCTTTCGCTTTGTTGGCTTTCTCTTCCCATTCCTGGAGATTAATAATTGTAAAATTTAACTTCGGATTTGATAAATAAGCGATAATGACAAATAAGTTTTATCACTGGTGGTAGGACCTCTTGGGAGTCCGCACGGGTAGGTATCACCACCCCGCCTATTTCCGCGTGAAGTAGTAATGCATTTCGGTTCGAAGGGTGGGGTAGCCGTAGTACTGAGACCGTAGAACTTATATCTCAAGGTGGGTGGCGCATTTACGTTGTAGATGTCTATCGGCTCCAGTAACCACTTAACACCAGGTGAGCTGTGAGCTCGTCCATCCATCTAAGCAATAAAAAAAAAAGGTTTCATAAACATTGTAAATAAGATGTTATAAGAAACGTCCTGACAGTTTGGTTCATTTAGCATATCGTCGCGGTTAAACCAAAATCTGCTATGTGCAAAAACTTTATTCTGAATTACTTAACGAGTACAAAAAATTTCGTTTAAATTTTTATATGAAGGTGAATTTCTAAGAACTATATCAAATGAAAGCTATAGATAAATATTAAAGCTAAGACATAACAGTTTTTTTATACAATACATAGGGCTGTGAACTATACGAAAAGATCTAAAAGTAAAAATTTCAAAAAGTGCACATAGCAGATTTTGGTTTGACAACGACGATATGAGTTTATAATTTATTTCAATTAAGTCAATCAGAACTGAATTTCGTTATTGTCATCCTAGGACTGGTTTTTAAAAATCCAGTTATAGCCTGACCAAATATGCAGGTGAAACAGTCAAAAATGTTTCATTACGTGGATCCAATATTTCATTAGTTTGTGTTGAATAATATCTTATAAAAATTGAAAAGTCAGTTTCGAATAGGGGTGTGCACTGACCGATTTGTCTTTCAGGTCCCTCCAGAGTTCTCCCGCGCGCTTGGCGACCTCTGTGACCTTGATCCCGGGGTTCTCTTCAATGATTTTCTTTCTGTTTTCGTTGAGCCACAGCATGAAGGCGGTCGCCGGCCGCTTGGGCGCGTTCACGTCCTTCTCGCGTTTCTTAGACTTCTCTTTACGCTTACGTGGCGCTTCGGACTGAAAACAACGAGCAAATTCAAACATTTTTAACAAATTTACTGGTGGTAGGACCGACCTCTTGTGAGTCTGCGCAGGTATTTACCACCACTCTGCCTATTTCTGCCGTGAAGCAGTAATGCGTTTCGGTCTGAAGGGTGGGTCAGCCGTCGTAACTATACTTGAGACCTTAGAACTTAAATCTCAAGGTGGGTGGCGCATATACGTTGTAGATGTCTATGGGCTCCAGTAACCATTTAACACCAGGTGGGCTGTAAGCTCGTCCACCCATCTAAGCAATAAAAAAAAACCATGTTACTATTACGTGATAAAATGCTAAGGTATTTACAGGAATGTATCAAGTTACCTATTCTACACGGGAGTTAGAACAAGTTACTGTACATATGAAGGCTTTGAATGAATTCCGTGCAAATTTATGTACGTTTTAAAATTATTTTAGGTTAAAATACATGGGTATGCGTCATTATGACATGTCACATACGTATTCTCAAGTATATATTCAATTGCTACATCACATAAATATACTTTTAGACAAATAATTTTACAAACAAAAATAACTTTTAAGTACTTGAATCCTGTATAGTATACGGCTCTAATCATAAGGAGTGTGATGTGCTTACAATAGTCTTAGCTTTCTTAGGTTTTTTCTCTTTCTTCTTTTCTTTTTCTTTCTCCTTCTTGCTATCACCGGAGCCGGAGCCGCCTGACGCGTCGGAGTCCTCTGAAGATGAGGCGTTCGTGTCGTATCTAAAATTCATTTTAGTTATGTTATTTTATACGGTCAAATTTCACTGATTTGTTTGCTTCATTCGTAAGCTTCCTAGAAATCGATTCTTATTAAAAATTATCGGTGGTCGGAGTGATAGAAGTTAATTTTCGGATTATGGATTATGTATATTTTTAATTTTTCTCATAAGCGACTCGGAGATTACCTTCAATATTTTTTCACTTTTCGTAACTTTTACTTTAGTCTAGGACTGGCTTGGTTGTTCGAACCTCGTATACCATGAGAGTACCTCGAGGTTCCATTTACAGATAACATCCTTTTTGGAACGAAGTTCCTTATCGCGCGTTGTGAAAGGGGGCTAGACGGAAAAAATTCTTACGAAAAGTTGTCACGACACTTTTAGATCCGTCATTCTGACCAATCAACGTGTAGGCGCTTATCGCGTGACATTGCTCGTATCCGCTTGGTCCGCGTAATGAGTACAGTTTCTCGAGATAGCGTTTCAACAATAGTAATTTAGTGTATAGTATTGTTTTTTTCTTCTTCATAATGCCGTAATTTATTATTATAACTTAAAAAAAAATATTTCAATTCCTTCACTAATTAATCGAAAGGAACTTCGTTCCATCCGGGTGTCCTTTGACACCTCTGAAGTTTTTTAAATATTCTAAATTAATTTTTGCAGCGCAGAAGCGATCTTTGTGGCGAGGCTTGGGGGAGGCCTATGCCGGCAGTGGACGTCTGTGAGCTAAAAGAATTGAATAGAATTCCTGTATTCAGTTTCAAAATTTTAGCTATATATTGTTTTACTGTTCTTTTTCAGGTTAAGAAATTATAATCTCGATGTAAACAATGCACAAACATGTAGGTTTACATTTACTTATATATTATGATTTATATATTAAAAAGAGCAAGATGTCAGCCAGGCCAGCCTCATGTATTTTTATGTAGTATATAAAGCAATAACTGAAACCATATTTCTCATTTTCTAAGCTGAGCATAAATATTCTAGTCATCTATATTTCTATACTAGTATTATAAAGAGGAAAGATTGGTTGGTTGGTTTTATTGAATAGGCTCCGATACTACTGAATCGATTTAAAAAATTCTTTCACTGTTGGAAATCTACGCTATCCCCGGGTGACATAGGCTATATTTATTATATTTTCAAAAAATTCGGAATCCTTACTGAAACTTCAATAATGTGTAAAAAAATTACCTAATTTTTTTTACATCGCGTGCGCTGTTTCCCAAGCAAAGCCGGGGCGGGCCGCTAGTCTTCAATATGTATACTTCGCTTTTGGGAACGTTACCCATCACGTTACATGTTCGGTACATAATGATTTGAATATTGCATTGCCACGTAACATAACAATCTTTTAAGCCACGACGACGTCTATTTAGAGCAGCGGTCGGGGAACTTTTTTAATTATTACCCCAAAATATTTTTGTGTAAGTTGATATTACCTCATGGCGAAGAACAAAAAAAAAAAAACGAAAATATATACTTTTTACTCACAAAAGTTTCATTTATACCCCCCCAAAAATTTCATTTTACCCCATTTGGGGTAATTTACCCCGGTTCGCCGACCGCTGATTTAGAGGTAATCATGTAGTGTATATAGAGTTACTCTTCAGCGACGTCGCTCTCCTTGGCCTTGTCGGGGTTGAAGTCCTCGTCGGTGCTCTCGTCGGAGCCGTCGCTGTCGTCCGACTCGCGCTCCTTCGCCTCCGCCTTCACGCGCTCCAGATACGCGTCCGGTTCCTTCTCCGTGTCCGAGTCGCCAAAGTCGTCGTCGTATAAGGCTTTGTCCTAAAATATAATAATCATTATTGTTTACAACGATCATACATAATAGGGATGTTCATTTAAAAATATATATCGATGTTTTTGGCGATGCATCAGTCGGAGCGGTTAAATCGATGTTTTTCGATATATCGAATTGAAACGTCGATGTTTTCGATGCATCGAAAATTTTTTTTAAGAACAAGTATATATATATGTTATACATATATATGTTGAAAAAAATTATATTCTGTTATCTGTCAAAACAAAGGAAAGAATAGAATTTCTACCGGGTTGACTATAACTTTAATCTATATGTACCGACTACCGATTATTGAGCCTATTTTCTATATCATAGGAAAAGGAATTTGTGATACTGAATCTTAGTTTGTGCAATATTATTGTCACTTCATAATTACTGAAAATTTTAAAAATAAACCGTCACATCAACAATTATTATGGAGATATTTATTCGATATATCGTAAAACATCGACTTCAACTGATCCATCGAAAGGTAAGCATCGATGTTTTCAATACATCGATGTATATCGAGCGTCCCTAATACATAATAGTTGTTGCAAAGTAAAGCGCTTGGCCTTTATTTGTAGTTGTAATCGTAAATACACATTTTCGTTAGTGTGCACCCGATGGAGCGGTCAGTATCTAAAATAGCTACATGCTATAGCCTACATTGACGCGTATACAGATTGGTCACTCACACAACTAAGGGCAGCGCGCAGTCGTACTTTGCAATAACTAAAATATGGGCGAACGAGCGAACGACGTTATGCAATTACCAGAGCCCATAGACATCAACAACTTAAATGCCACCACCCACTTTTAAACAGCGTTTTAAGTCCCAGTTTTCTCGGAACAACAACGACTGCCCCACCCTTCAAACTAAAACGCATTACTGTCTCACAGCAGAAATAGGCAGAATGGTGATATCTACCAGTGCGGACTCTCAAAACGCCCTCCCTACCAACGGTTATTACGCAAATTATATTTTTTGCGGATTTGATTTTGATTACACGACGTTATTCCATTACCGTGAAAGTCAATCATGTATTTTTTAAGCAGGTACGTATTTCATTAGAAAAATTGGCACCTGCTTGCGGGTTTTCGAACACCGACACAGTCGCATCATACGATACGAATACACCGCGCGTCTTATCCTTCAGGCCACGACGACTTCTAAGTGCCTACCTATACCTGTTACTAATGTGGCCACATGCAACCTATATTTATGTTTCACGTATATTCCTTAATGCCTACTGTGGGTTTGTAATACTAAACATTTATAAAAAAAAAGTGAGAAATATTTTAATAGAAAATTTAATTTTTGAATAGTAGAGCGTATTGCAAACCTGCACGAGTAGGGACCGTCATTTTATTCTACATTTCTACCGAAAAACAATAATATATGAATGGTTTGAAGGGTGGGGAGTCACTATCCTATTCAGCTGAGGCCCGACCTCCTGGCTCTCGTATCGTATCAGACCTATATCGATGCAGTCATCGACAAAATCAAAACTGCGTTACGTAGGTATCCCGTGAGAAGAACGATTAACGTGTCATGTCGCATTCCGATCATTCTTATTATTATTTTGCTTATTTACACACTATACAATCTATACTAATATATAAATCTACAGTGGCTTTTACGGATGTTCCGCTATAACTACTGAAACATACATCCGATTGACTTGAAACTTGGTATCCATGTAGAAAATACACGTACTTAATGGATAGGCTAATATTGATATGAGTATTAGACTCCCTAATAATAATGACAATAAATAATAATGTTAATTTTGAATGCCCGGCGAAGCGGGCGAGTACGGCTAGTATACATATTATAATTTTCTGACAATTATTAGAATGTATTTTTTCAATCACGTTGAAATTAAAATTAACTTTTAGTATTAAAAAATACAGAATAGCTAATGCTGGCGAATTATTGTTGTCTTTAAAAAAAACCCAGCTGATCTTATTTTATAAGAGCATTCTGATTAAAACTCACATTCTTTCCAGTATTCTTGACATGTAATTTCTTCGAAGATATATAATTGAAGAGTTTGTCATATTCTCCCTTCTCGATACTGCTAAACGTGTGCACGCTGCCCAACTTCAGTTCTATTTCGAAATCAAATGATCTGGAATAAAACGTATTTTTTTAATTGCTTAGATAGACATCTACAACGTAAATGGTCGGCATTGCCGGCGCATGCGCATTGTAGGCGTGAGGTGATGGTTTGCTTATTAGATATAAAATAATTAATAATTGGGAATTTAATTGATTTTATGATCAAACAATCACCAAAAGTCGTCGAACAAACGATAATTGATCAAAATTAATTAATCTGAGCGATACGAATAAAGATATCTAGTAAGGGGGGCCAACTTAAGGGTGATCGTTTGTTTAATTAATTATAAATAAATGACGAACAAACAATTTTTACATTCGAACATTAACGAACAAACGACAAACAAATAATAAAAAAACCGAAGAAAAAATTGGGGGGGCCAAATTAAGTGAGCCGCGGGCGCACGCTACTCACACTGAAAACGGAAGCACCCGGAATAGAGATTATACACTTCTCTGTCAAAAGACGGACATAGATACTAAAAATTAAGTATAGCGAGCGGCCGTGGGAGTGACTTACAGGTCGGTTTGCTATAAAGTAATATAAATACTTACTTCGTCGACGAAGCGCCCCCTCGAGCGAAGTTCACAGACGCAATCTCCTCAAATCGTATGTGTACTGGTGGCTTGTGAACGTATATGAAACCTTTGTCTAGGGGATACAGATAGCCAGCCGCCGCCTTGTATGAACACGCTATGGCCGGNGCGAGCGGCCGTGGGAGTGACTTACAGGTCGGTTTGCTATAAAGTAATATAAATACTTACTTCGTCGACGAAGCGCCCCCTCGAGCGAAGTTCACAGACGCAATCTCCTCAAATCGTATGTGTACTGGTGGCTTGTGAACGTATATGAAACCTTTGTCTAGGGGATACAGATAGCCAGCCGCCGCCTTGTATGAACACGCTATGGCCGGGGTCTTGTGGTGTCTGGAAAATCAGTCCCAAAAACACCATAAACATTTATCTTTAACTTCATGAGATAATTTGAATAAATAAATTTGTTTTGTTAATTATATATATAACGAGATGTATAATTATTAATTATTTTTAATTACGATGTTAGGAAGCAAAAATATGTTCAATAATTTACCCTAAAAAGTCACCAGGACCTGTGACCCTTCTATTGATGATGACCTTCATGATCTTGGCTAGAACTTCGTATGTCGGTCCAGATAATTCCTTTGTTATTTTACCTTCATATTTGTCTTTCAATTCTTCCCTGCAATTGTTTAAATTGAAATTCAAATATAACAAAATTACAGTGATAAACAGAACATGCAGGCACATATTTGATTACTAACAATGCAAGAATAATACATAGCAATCTTAACAGCTACATTTCATTACTTAAAAGGTGATGGTGTCGGAGTTACCCTATTTAAATATAAACATAATAATATGTTTTTATTTTACTTCACTTTAGATTATGCAATAATAGACAATTTGCCAAAAATGTTACTCACTCTGTAAAAGGAAGTTCTACAGTTGTCTCCTCCTCAATACCAAACAACAGCACTAAATAATGGTACCTTGTTTGACCCTGTTTGATCGGTGGATCCAAGGAAACGACAAAGAACATTTGCCTCGTATCCTTGTGAGGCAATAAGAATAAACGGAGAACTGTCGACATAGGGATCTTGTAGTCAAAGGTTTTACCGTGAAGCTGAAAGAATGTCTGGAATACCTTGATATCATAACGACCACTAAAAAAAAATTTAAAACAAATAAATTAATTTGATCGTTTTTCAGAACATTATTATTTTACATTCAATTGCAATTCACTGAATTTAATAATACTGCATTTTTATTTTTACTTTTCTACTCAATTCCGAAACATAAAAGGTACAAAATAGCCATACCAAGACTGAACTGGTTTGTTGTTGTAGACATATACAAATATTAATCTTATATTTCAAATTAGTGAAAATTACAAAAATATTTGGAAACCATACCGAGGTGTCAAACATTGTAGTTCTCTGAATATAGCAATAGCATCACCAGAAACTGAAATAACACTCGCTTTGTTCATTACTTGTTGGTGGAATGCTTCAACTGCATCCAAATCATTGGCCACTTCACTGGTGGGAATGTGGAAGCGCATTTCCATCAATGATACAGGTGTGTCATCATTCTGTAATTTTCAAATCAAAATATAAAGTATCTTATCATCACTATCCATTTGCTGGAAATTGTTCTCTACAAATATGCCTCTTAGACACAGACACAACAAATAACAGACATTTTTACTTTTGCAGATGTTTTATTTGAGTCAATCAATAGTTGCATGTTTGATATGATTATATTAGATATCTTACCCTTGTTAAGTACAACTTTAAGTTTTTTCGATATTTTTTTAGATATTTTCATGATAGCAGAACTAACCTGATGAAATTCGAGTGTGACTTCATTCTTTCCTGTATTGCATTGAGAGACATAATGCAATGGTATTTCAAAAGCGGTGTTTGTACCAACATTGAAACTTAGTACTGCTCCATTAAATTTAGCTGTACCCCAGTTCCAACCTTTTAGAGATAACTCTTTCTCTAGCATGTCTTTATTATAATTGGCTTTGAAGAATTTTGCAACCTTCTCTTGCTCCTGTAGTATTTCAATTATTTAATTAGATGATTCCAATCATAGAATCATAAAATCACTTCATTTGTTTAATTCATTTTCATTGTAGCAGTAGGCAGTGGCTTGGCTCTGCCCCTGGCATTGCTGAAGTCCATGGGCGACAGTAACCACTCACCATCAGGTGGGCCATATGTTCGTCTGCCTACAAGGGCAATAAAAAAAAAAACATTTAGCTAGAATTTATTAAGCTAGTTTTATTGTCATTTTTTAACTAACCCCCAGGACAAACCTGTTGTTTATAAGTAGATAACTTAATTTAAATTATAATTCTACATTAATAACTACTTAAGAGGTTATTTTTAAGAAAACATTTTAAATTCAGAACTCTTCCACAGAACACTGCAACAGAGTAATTCTTATTTCGTTATGAAATATATTTGACAAGCTTAATAAAAACTGAATAGAATAAATTTATTACACATACTTTTTTGTAATTTCTTCTATTTGTATCAGAGTGTATAGAATATGTGACCTAATAATTTTGAAAAAATATTTTCTTGTTTCTAAACAAATTTCAATTTTTAAAACACAGTTCCAATTATGTTTGATTTTAAAAACAACAGCCCTTCTGTTGTTCCCTTCTATTCCAACAATAAGTTTGAAATGGTACTTAGGCGGGATCGTTTTTGTTGATTATTTTAAAATGACTGGCAAATTATAACCCATATTCTTATGATTTCAAGTATGAAATGTTATGGTTTAGAACAAAAACCAGAACCTATTGTCGCATCTGTTATTTTGCATAATAAATGAGTTATCTATCGCAGGGACGTGTAAATTTTGTCAATTATGGAAAACTTATGTTGTATTTACTTACACCTTCTTTAAAACCTCCGTATCTGTGCAAAGTACCATTTTTGAGAAACAAACGTAAGCCCCACGAACCAATGAACTTCTGGAAATTCACCAGCTCAATGTCATTAGCTGATATTTGTTCAACTTTGCCGGTTTTACTATTCTTGAAAATTATGTTTTGGTCTGTCATTTTTAACCTCCCTGGTACCTGAAACGCCAAGCACTCTTAATATGATTCTCCATAATGTTTCTTAAAATGCTTTTCATAAAGCGTTAAGTTATAAATAAAAAGACATTCATTCTTCATCGACATACCATGTTTCCTTTTATTTCTGCGGAAACATCGTTATACTCTAAAAACTCCATGTTTCGTTATTTGACAATACTTTACAACGCGATGTAACAATGTAAAATTAGCGTATATTTCCTTAAGATTGAATAATAGTTTCAATGATTAATTAGTCACTGTGTTTTATAGTGTGTAACGAAAAACTTTTCATTTACTAGTTTTCAAGTTTAATTTTCAATTCACCCACTATAAGTTACGTTATTCATTAAAGTGTAATCTATGATAACATGTGTGTATCTATGATGTTAGGAGACTTTTTGGCGGGAGCGCGAGGAGTGAAGTTGTGTGATTTGTTTTATTTTGTCTATTTAGTGCTTCTTCAGGTTTAAATGTGTAATAACGGAGGTTTATTAACTGTTTAATATCTGTGAAAGTGCACAAATGTGGGAAAATGAAACAAAGCCGCTGGACGTCACTTCTCGGGATCCTCCAAAAAGTGCAATGAAAAAGTCTCAGTACATAGATGACCACCATTTTACTGAGATTATATTTCATCCGATATTCTCATCTCGTTTCATTTGATTTCATCCCAGTTGATTAATGTCTCAAATTAATCATCTTCATTTCATTTCATCATTTTTCATAAAAATAAGAAAATAAATTAAAATAAGACATGACTTAAAGGTCTTAGTTACCAGGTCATAAAATCCCTTAAAAAATCTATGATGTTAACTTAAATAATAGTTTAATCTATGTATAAGGAAATAAAAGGCTTTATGTTGGGTGAATGAAGTTAGCCCCTCAAAAAAATTTTTTTTTCCTGTTTTCTACTTATTTTCTATTAATTCATTTGTTCATCATTTGTTCTTGATTGTTCACTGTTAATAATTGTTTGTTCCCCATTTATTTATTTTAAAAAAAATATTAAAAATATATCTAAAAGTTAGCCCCTCGATTGCAATTTTTAATATTTTTTCGTCCTTAATTACTCGTAAATATTCATTTTCGATTGTTCTTATATAAAATACGTTTGTTCTCTTTCGAAATTACTCATTTTTTGTTTAATTAATTGTATTAGTTGAATAAATGTATACAAAATATGTGTACCGTACAATGGGGTAAATAGGGACAAAATCGACCTTCAGATTGAATTTTAAAATAGTTCCAATTAAATAGTCACTGCTCAACCAAAGAAATAAGTTGAGTCTTGAACGTACCTAGGTGATAAAAACCGTTACATAATTTTAATTATTCATTTTAAAGAAATAATCGGTAAAATAATGGCCGTCCCAATTTACCCAGCGTCCGGGGTAAATTGACACGGTTAAGGGTTAAATTGGGATATTTGTAAGGGTTGTCAACTCGCAGTACTGCGATATATAGGTAGGTGCCATATAATTATTTATATGGACCGAAATGATGAATACAATCCATAATTTAAGCACAATACACAACATAGTGTAAATTAAGCTGGTTTCTATTCCGAAGCGATGTGACGTGAATGATAATCAACAATACAATGATCAAAAAAAGTATGTGCATGTTATATTTTAGAAAATTATTATTTAATTTCCTTAAAAATCACAACTCTGANATATAAATATTTCCGATTTTAAAGTTCCGTACTCAGATTTAGTTTATTCAATTAAACAAAATATGATGAAACGTTGGTCTAATTACTTGTCTAAGTCCAGAGAAACGAAAGGTAAATGGTTAGCTGAAATAGTCCCAGTACCTAGTACTAAATCTTGGTTTGATAATTTTAGATTCTTCCCGGGAAGAGCCTTTATATCGATTATTTGTAGATTACGTATAGGCCACGGCCATTTTCCTGCGCATCTTTTTAGATTAAAGTTAAGTGAATCAGCTGCATGTACTTATTGTAACTCTGGTATGTGTGATCTAGATCATATTTTTTTTAATTGTCCTGAATTCAATCAACAGAGATTATTGTTTAATGCATTATGTAAAGACACAGGCTTAAAATCTATTCCTAATTCCATTCAAGGTATTTTAAAGCTTCCACAACTATTCTCAATAGTGTATAATTTTGTACTTCACACTATAGAACGACTATGAATGTATAATTCATGAATGTATCATAGGTCTCCTGCTTATGTGCAAGTTTAATTATTTTTTATAACGACTCATGTTCTTTTTTTGTTGTTTGTTGAAAGAAAACTTATAATTTTTTATTTTTTTTATAGTAAGTTCTTGCAATTCATTTTGTCATTAATTTGTTGTTTTCAATGATTTGTAATTGTTTCTTGGTTTGGTTTGTTTCTTTTATTTGTGTTTTTATTGTAAGTTCTAGTTCATGTACTATTTTTTTGTAAAATTAGTTTAAGCTGATGGCCGTGTTGCCAATGCTTTCAATAAATTAAAAAAAAAAAAAAAAAAGACTTGTTGGCGGGAGCGCGAGGAGTGAAGTTGTGTGATTTGTTTTATTTTGTCTATTTAGTGCTTCTTCGGGTTTAAATGTGTAATAACGGTGGTTTATTAACTGTTTAATATCTGCGAAAGTGCACAAATGTGGGAAAATGAAACAAAGCCGCTGGACGTCACTTCTCGGGATCCTCCAAAAAGTCCAATGAAAAAGTCTCAGTAGATGACCACCATTTCACTGAGATTATATTTCATCCCATATCATCTCATCTCGTTTCAATTGATTTCATCCCAGTTGATTAATGTCTCAAATTAATCATCTTCATTTCATTTCATCATTTTTCATAAAAATAAGAAAATAAATTAAAATAAGACATGACTTAAAGGTCTTAGTTACCAGGTCATAAAATCCCGTAAAAAATCTATGATGTTAACTTAATTATTAGTATAATCTATGTTTAAGGAACTAAGGCTTTATGTTAGTAAATAATAATCACACATTGAGTTAAAGAATTCAGTATTTGTTGACTATTAAGTAACTTTTAACGACTCTCGCAACTGTAATAAGTAGAGATTGCAGGCTACTACCGTTATTTAAGTGTTATTCTATGATCTTATGAATATCTTAAATATGCCATTAAGTAATTCTACGTATTCTACTATCGTAGATTTTATGATCAATCAATCACCAATAGTCATCGAGCAAATGAAAATTGATCAAAATGAATTAATATGAGCGATAAAAATAAAGATAAGTAAGAAAGTAAGGAGGGGCAGCTTAAGGGTGATCATTTGTTTAATTAATTATAAATAAATAAAAGACGGACAAACAATTTTTACATTCGCACACTAACGAACGACGAACAAATAATTAAAAATTAAAAATATCCGAAAATCAAATAAAAGGGGGCCAAATTTACAGAGCCAGCTTTCGCGCATGTGCACTCGTAAAAAAAGTGTTATAAGCATTCATTTTTTAGTAATATAAATGACAAAATTATTATTTAATATAATTCATACTAAATATTATTAAATTATTAACGTTAAATATTTATTATTAATTATTTAATATTTAAAAAAAAAAAAATTTTTTTTTATTGCCCTTGCAGGCAGACGAGCATACGGCCCACCTGATGGTGAGTGGTTACCGTCGCCCATAGACTTCAGCAATGCCAGGGGCAGAGCCAAGCCACTGCCTACCGTTTAATACTCTCCACAAGCCTTGTTTGAAGAAGGACATGTCATAGCGCTCGGGAAACACCGTGGCGGGGAGCTCATTCCATAGCCGGATGGTAAGTGGCAAAAAAGACCTCTGGAAACGCACTGTGGATGAGCGCAGTGGCTCCAGGTAGTATGGATGAACTCTTCTCCGGTGGCGGGCGGTGCGATGGCAAAAACGAGATGCCGGTATCATCTCGAATAATTCCTCAGAGCACTCCCCATGGGACATACGGTACAAAATACAGAGGGAACCGAAGTCTCTCCGCAGACCCAGAGGTTCCAAACGATCCGTGAGAATGGGATTAATCCCTTCTTAGTATAACTTCTTACGCGCGTACATAAGTACACGCACCCTTTTTTTATTTATTATGGCTTAGATGGGTGGACAAGCTCACAGCCCACCTGGTGTTAAGTGGTTACTGGAGCCCATAGACATCTAGAACGTAAATGCGCCACCCACCTTGAGATATAAGTTTTAAGATCTCAGTATAGTGACAACGGCTGCCCCGCCCTTCAAACCGAAATGCATTACTGCTTCACAGCAGAAATAGGCAGGGTGGTGGTACCTACCCGCGCGCACTCACAAAAGGTCCTACCACCAGTACAAAAGGTCCTACCACCAGTTTTGTTTTATTTGATTCGTTTTATTTTGTCTATTTAGTGTTTTTTCAGGTTAAAATGTGTAATGACGGTGGTTTATTAACTGTTATAATTGTAATATCTGTGAAAGTGCACAAAGTTGGGAAAATGAAACAAAGCCGCTGGACGTATATATAGTATTATCGACCAGAAGTGCGGTAGTTAACAAAAAGAAATAAATAACACAGAACTGGCCTAATTATACTTCACTGAATTAACAAAACTTCTAAGAAAATGATTTCAATTTACTATTAACGAAAACTGTTAAAATTACACAAGAACCAAACATGTTTCAACAAGAACCGCACACACGAACGCCACGCACAAAAAGAGGCAAAGGCGCAGCGAGGGATCGTTTTTATAGTTTTAGCGCTGGCTCTCGGTCGGGGGTTGCCAGGATTCGGTAACACGGCCGTTCCTGATGGCGAGGCGTCCTCGACCGCTTCATCTCTCAGCAGAAGCATATCTCTTCCAGCTACGTCAGAGCTTGCATCAACAAGGTCACCCTCTGTAACGTAACAAAAAAAATTACACCCAGACCTTAATGCTCTAAAACTTTCTAAAATTTAGAATCCCTACTACAGACGCAAGCGTGCACTCTTACGATCTGCAGCGAGGACGAGCCAAAGATAAACATTTGAAGTGAGAAGAATGGATATCGCACAACTGTCCCAAACTGCGCAATTTGAGACACCTGCACGATTCCTTTACTGAGTTAGCCCGTACAGGAAACGTCTAAAACAGTAGCGGCAATATTCACCGATACAGATACTGAACATTACCGACACAACACAGCTAAACAGTAGGGACGCAAGATCCGGCCGAATCCGCATCTACCATACTGCTCAAAAAATAAACGGGAAGTAAAGCACCGTCGTGCCCACCTCAACCTCAAAAATGGGAAGTAAAGCACCGACGTGCCCACCTCAACCTCAAAAATGGGAAGTAAAGCACCGAAGTGCCCACCTCGACCTTCACATATTAATTTCGAAGAAAA